TCCCAGTTGTAGATATTATATTCACTGTTACCAGCCACAAACAGAATCCTCTTGCTGTTTTTTTTGTAGCAACATCGCGAAGCTACGCTCTCAGATACGGAGCTTAGCAACGTGTTGCTGAAACGCCACTTGGCAGGAGGACGTACTGACAATAATACCTATTCCATGCACCCCCGGTTTCAGACCCATTTATCCATAGATGCTGGGTTAGCCAGAATGTCAAATGACCTATTTTGCCCACCATCTACTCAGTTCGAATCCATAGAAAACGCTGATCATTCGGATTTAGCGGGTGACACCAGCTAATGATGCTAACAATCTTGTAATAATAATAGTAAAAAACATTAAACTTATATAAATATAAACATAATCTTAATAATGTTACAAAGGAGGATTGACATGGATTAACCATTTACAGATGATTTTCAAATTTGTCATGTTTGATGCCACCAATCTACATGCACGACATCTGATCATCTATGGTGAGTTTTTTTTTTTTGGAGATAAAGTGAACATTCAACATAACATTGTTTTCTTGTAACCATAACTGGTTGGTGGTTTTAATCGTGTTTTTTTTTCCATTTCAGTCACCGTATGTCGTTTTTTATTAGGGGATGGGATTGCTATATCATAACGATGGATGGTTTTGATTTTTGATGGTGCTTGGCCACGGGTGAAGCATGGATTCCTGGGTGGCGAGATATCTCAACTTTTTGCGGCAAAGAGTGACGGAAAGCTATTCCTTTCGGTGCCTTAACATGGCAATGGGAGATCGTTCATTTATTCATGATGTTCCTCTATTTTTCCATACCGTCAGGTTATTATGTACGTAGTTATGGAGAATTATCGTTTTGAATACGTCATAAATCAGCTCCAAATGTGCCATGTCCCATGGCTTAATAACGATTAATATCCCCCATTTTTGTTGGTTCAATGGAACAATTATTCACGAACGAAGCGTCAAGTAAAAAGTGATGCATCCGTCAGCAGAAAGTGACAAATTGATGAGGCCCAGCATCAAATGTGGCCAAATGGGCTCCAGTAAAGCTGGACCCAAAGCTGGCTAAGCCAACTGAACAGATCTTTGAGATCTTTGAGCATGGTCAGATTCGAACCATTCGGCAATCGCATCCTGTTCACGAAAACTGGTTGGTGGTTTGGAACATGAATTTGATTTTTCCATATATTGGGAATAATCATCCCAACTGACTTTCATATTTTTCAGAGGGGTAGGTCAACCACCAACCAGAAAATATCGCATCCTGTCTTTACACGGTACTTGGCCTGAAATTCCGCTGGGAGGAGAGGTGGAGTCTCATGAAGAGTAGTTTTTCCCCATAAGATCCCATTAGAAATCCCATGAAATCACCATTTTTCCACACAAACAGCCCTTTTCGACATCGAAAAAACAAGTCACAGCACGAGAGACGCTGCCAAGGTTCCGCGGACGTCTTCCAATCACAAGATGCAAATGGACACAAGGAGGACGCTGGTTTAGTCAGAAAAGGATGGAGGGTTGTGGCTGGGAAAATCGAGAATCATAGGGAAAATGGGGAAATCCCATTATAACATATTATAACTGGAGATTCATTCATGGGAGAATCCCCATGAATGGTGGATTTTCCATTGCCATGTTTGATTGCCGGAGGGTGATTTAGCACTGTCTAATGGGAAGTTCCTTTTCTATGGTTTAGATTTTCAAGGGTTGCTACAATCGTCATTGAATCATTGTTTTTGGAATGCATGAAATGGAGACAATAGTAGTCTGACCAAGCAAATGTTCACATAACACCGACTGGGATCTGAGTACTGAAACAACAAACGAACCGATGGACATACCCTGCATTTTTACCAGCACGGAAAACCACGTTTGAAACTACGAGCCACCTTTCGCGTAGGACGGGCCGACATTTCAGTGGGGATCATACCAAGCTATTCTAAGCACACGACGGCCGGTGCAGTTCCACCCACTAATATTAGCCTTTGGTAAATAGCCAATGGCTTGAGTGGAAACTCATCCACCCCACCCCCGATGAATGGCAGGGTCTACGTTAAAAATTACTTTACTTCGTGTGATCCCCACCATGACATTTATACATTTTCTTACTGGCAAATCTTCTGGCATTCTATCTGACATATCTTCTGACATTCTATTTGGCATTCTATCTGGCATATCTTCTGGCATATGATCTGGCATCTCTTCTGGCATATCTTCTGGCATTCTATCTGGCAAATCTTCTGGCATTCTATCTGGCATATCTTCTGGCATTCTATCTGACATATCTTCTGGCATTCAATCTGGCATTCTATCTGGCATATCTTCTGGCATATATTCTGATATATCTTCTGGCATTCTATCTGACATATCTTCTGGCATATATTCTGACATATCTTCTGGCATATCTTCTGGCATATCTTCTGGCATATCTTCTGGCATATCTATCTGGCATATCTTCTGGCATATTTTCTGGCATTCTATCTGGCAAATCTTCTGGCATTCTATCTGGCATTCTATCTGGCATATCTTCTGGCATATTACCTGGCATTCTATCTGGCATATCTTCTGGCATATATTCTGACATATCTTCTGGCATTCTATCTGGCATTCTATCTGGCATTCTATTTGGCATTCTATCTGGCATATCTTCTGGCATATCTTCTGACATTCTTTCTGACATTCTTTCTAACTTTCTTCTGCACATTCTTTGTCCCATATCTTCCGACATGAGGTCCGGCAGGGAACACTTGGCGTGGATACTCGCGGTTGAGGTCCGGCAGGGAACACTTGGCATGGATACTCGCGGTTGAGGTCCGGCAGGGAACACTGGGCGTGGATGGCCGTGGTTGAGGTCCGGCAGGGACCCCTGGGCGTGGATGGCCGTGGTTGAGGTCCGGCAGGGAACACTGGGCGTGGATGGTCGTGGTTGAGGTCCGGCAGCGAACACTGTGGATCGCGAGTCGCAGTTGAGCAGGAGGACGAGGAGGACGAGGAGGACGAGGAGGACGAGGAGGAGGAGGAGAAGGAGGACGAGGAGGCAACTGACATAAAATCTAACAACCCTCACCTGGCAGGTGGGGAAAAACTGGCTTCGGTTTCACCATAGGTGTAGGGGTTAAGTTTATATCCCATCTTGTGGATGCTCTTGCCATACCCATTAATAACCCGGAGCTACACCCCCAAGAAGGGGCCGGGAAATTATTGTATCATGTCACCTCCTATGTGTTTTTTCCCGGTACTAACCTGCGTTGAGAGCGACACTGATGACGTTGTATCCCGCAGTTAACCACTAAACATTCACTATTCTTCAGAGTCATCAAACATGGCTTGCTATAAACCTCCATTTATCTGGGTAAATTATAACATACCCGTTGGTAGCTCCCAGCTGAGATCTAGGAGCTCCAGCCCCTGGGGTGCATGGCTATTTTTTTTTAGCCTTAGTAAAAATGACGATAGGTCCCTTGATTTTATCTGCAGACATGCTAGATTTTATCTCGATCATAAGTGTGAGATAAATTCTAAGAGGCTGGACCCCCCTAGGTCCCCTCAAGGGTACTCGCTTCCAAGGAGGACCCATGGGGGGGATCCAGCCCCTTGGATTTTATCTCACTCCAATTTCAGGTCAGGCACCTTGATTTTATCTTTGGAAGGTTGGGCTCATTGAATTTTATTTTCATCCTACTTGAGATTTGGTACCTATCTTATATTTTCAAAGGTTCACCCCCTTGATTTTAGCTCCAACCTACTTTGATTGCAGTTCCAACGAGATTTAGGAGCTCCAGCCCCTGAGGTGCAGAATATATGTTTTAGTTTTTTGAGTAAATTTGAAGGTTGGGCCCCAGATTTTAGCAGCACACTTGCTAGATTTTATCGTGGCCCTATGTGTGAGATAAATTCCAAGGGCTCCGACCCCCCCAGGGCCCTCCCAGGGCCCCCCCAGGGCCCCTCAAGGGCATTCGATTCCAAAGAGGATTCAAGAGGGGCGAGACCCTTGGATTTTATCTGATCCCAACTTGAGGTTAGGCCTTTTGATGTTATGAAGGTTGGGCCTTTGAATTTTATTTTTATCTTACTTGAGGCTTGGTATCTATTTTATTTTCAGATGCCAGCCCCCTTCAGTTTAGGTCCAACCTACACCTTGGATTGGAAAGGGGAAAAAAACAACCTTGATTGATGAATTCCACTGCAAAACTGGCATCAAACTGTAACAAAGGTGCATGAAATTTATTGTGTTGAGCATTGCTGGCATGTTTATCAAGCTCACCGTTACAAATTTCCTCACCTTGAAACTTTATTGTTTTTGAACTTTGAGATGAAAATATTGAATTTGACCCAAACAAAAAGGCTGCCAAATCCTGTGCTTCTTCTGTTCCCGGATAGCTGCTTCGACCTAGCGGGGCGAAGCTTGAAGGAAAAAACCAAGAAGAAGTAAAATCCATGTCCCCAACCTTGATAGATGAACCCCTCTGCAAAACAGGCATCAACCAAAGGTGCACATTTTTTTCTTGGGAAACGTGTGGCATGTTTATCAGCTTTCGCGCCACGGAAACCCTGTCAATATTATCTCTTTTGAACGTCATTCTTTGTTGAACTTTCACATCAAGGACAAATATTGAAATTGATCTCAAAAAGCACGCAACCAAATCCTGGATACCAGCATCTCACCCTGTCCATCTTCAGTTCCAGCAAATAAAACCTGTGTGCCCAACCTTGAGATATCAACCTCTCTGCAAAATTGGCGTCAAAAAACTTGCACTAAGTTTATTTACTTGGGACAGTTCTGAAATGTTTACCTTTATCATATTTGTTAAAAGTAAATCCAGAACAAAGTCTCCTGCACATCAAGGGCACACTGAAATTGATTCCAAAAAAGGCTACCAAATCCTGGAAACCAACACCTCGCCTTGTCCAATCTTTGCTCTTGAAACTTGGAGGGGAAGCCTGAAAATAACATCTGTACCCGCTAACCTTGATAGATGAATCTCTCTAAGAAAACTGGCGTTAAAGGTGCGCAGAAATTGTGTTCTTGGGAAGATAGTTATGACATGTTTATCAACTTTATCTCCGTTGAAAACCTTTCAAAGTGGCCAGCTTATCTGAGGCATGCAGAAAAAATCGATGGCTAAAATCCAGGAGGTCCATGGTTTCATAAGATTCACAGATAAAACATGTATGTCCTAAATATTCACAACATGCCCAAAATATTTTGAGGGGCCTGACCTTTGATCATTTTTGAACGTCCAAAATGCTCCAAAGTATTGGTTCCCTTGTCCAAGTTGAGTGTTAGCAAAAATGTTTGGTTTACGAATGCTAGACTTGGGCCCCTAGATTTTATCCATTCAGAAATGCTCAAAAGGGGTATGGGGGGGTCAGGCCCCTCTGGAAAACAGCCACTGGGGTCTACTATTTCAGGGGCGGACCCCCCCTAGGAGCAACCAAGGGGTTTATTATAACGACCTCACTGCGACCTCACTGGAATCATGGTTATTAAGGGGAATCATCCCCAAATGGCTTTAATTCAGGTTGGTGAAATATTATAATTTACCCAGATTTATAGGGGATTTACCAGCTAGCCAGGTTTGATTACCCGGTAAGTCATATCCCAATTTATGGATGTTCCCCATGAAATCAGTGAAATCCCAATGATTCGCAAGTGTGTCCAATTGTGCCATTTCACAAACTGGAAATCACATGAAACCCCTTTAAAAGAACCTATTATTAGTCACTAGTCATAATCCCCTTTTTAAGCCCAATTGAAACGACGTCAACATCCAATAAAACATGCCATGTTCATCCCATTTTCATTAACCATATAATAACCATATATATTAACCATATAATAACAATATAATAACCATATATTACCCATATATTAACCATATATTAACCATATAATGTCAAGTGAGGATTAATAATCCCCTCCCGATTAATCAACCACCACTGCCCCCCCAAAAAAATGTAATTTAAAAACAGGTGGTCCCCCCAGATTAATAAACCCACCCGATTAAAAAACCACCAGTGCTGAAATCCTTTTTTTATCCAACATTTTTTATTTCCAATTCTATTTATTTCCAATTGTTTTTTACCATTTTTTTAATCATCATTGTTATACTTCAGGTTTAAATTGATCATTGAAAATTTCAAAAAACAACTATTCCCCAAATGATCGATTTCTAATTATTTTTTAAAAAATATCATCAGTTTGGATAGCTCCCAAAGGGTACCCCCCATGAGCCCATGCCCCCCATTAATAATAACCAGGGTTTGCCCCTGATTAATCAACCACCTTTCTGATCCATGAAATTTTAACAAATCCAATGGAATTCTATTCAGATCTAATTGACGTAAGCCATATCCAAAGTTTTATGGTTTAGAGTTGCTTATTACGAAAGCCAGCTAGCTGGCTAGTTGCTGTTTGCGAACGAAGTGAGAATAGGGGGTGTGGGGGGGGTGGTTGCCGAAAGGGAACGAAATCTCGCCGTGCCCCTGTGTTGAGCGCCAGAAAACGGAGCATTTTGCTGGATTAAGTACCACTAGGCAATTTGCTGACGGTGGGGTATCGATTCCCCCTAGGTCCGCCTTTTTGGTGGCCGGAAAGACCATGAGGATGTATTGGAAAATACAATGAAACTGCAGGAGAACATGATAACGATCAGAGGAAATCGTACAAAATCCCCTGGAAAACGGACGAAAACGGAGCGAATGCGAGGAACAAACCATGGAAAATCCCTTGGAAAATGGAGGAAACCGGAGCGAATGCTAGGCGCAAACCATGACGATGCAGTAAACATGCTGGAAAAATACAGTGAAAGTGCAGGAAAATGTGATAACAACGAGAGGAAATGGTGCAAAAAGGATCGGAAAATGAAGGAGACAGGTAAAACTCTTGGATTAATATTAATATTGAAAAGGTATGAAAATGCAGGAAACCAGAGGAAATGGTGCAAAAACCTATGGAGGAAAGAGGTGAAAATGATAGGAAACATGTAGTAAAAAAATGCTGGACAAAACATATTGAAAACCCACGAAGAGGATGTATTGGAAAATACAATGAAACTTGAGCAAAACATGATAACGATCAGAGGAAAATGCTAGGAACAAGCCATGCAAAATCTGTTGGAACATGGAGGAAACCGGAGTGACTGCTAGGAACAAACTATGACGATGCAGTAAACATGTTGGAAAAAGACAGTGAAAGTGCAGGAAAATGCGATAACAACCAGAGGAAATGGTGCAAAAACGATCGGAAAAATCAAGGAGACGGGTAAAACTCTTGGAACAATACATTGAAAATGCAGCAAACCAGAGGAAATGGTGCAAAAAGGAGACGGGTAAAAATCTTGGAAAAATAGATTAAAAATGCATGAATAGACTGAAAGCCCACGAAGAGGATATAGATGATATAGAAACTGCAGGAAAACATGATAACAATCAGAGGAAATCGTGCAAAATCCACTGGAAAATGCTGGAAAGATACAGTGAAGGAAAATGTGATAACAACCTGGCAGGAAAATGTGATAACAACCAGAATAAAGGGTGCAAAATCTGTTGGAACATGGAGGAAACCCGGAGCGACTGCTAGGAACAAACTATGACGATGCAGTAAACATGCTGGAAAAATACAGTGAAAGTGCAGGAAAATGCGATAACAACCAGAGGAAATGGTGCAAAAACGATCGGAAACTGAAGGAGACGGGTAAAACTCTTGGAAAAATATATTGAAAATGCATGAAATGCAGGAAACGAGAGGAAATGGTACAAAAAGCCATAGAGGAAAGCGGTGAAAATGGTAGGAAGCATGTAATAAAAAAAGCTGGACAAAACACAGTGAAAACCTACAAAAGAGAAGAAAGTAACCACAGGAAACGGTAGAAAAAACAGTGGAAACTGGAAGAAAAGTTGTGACAATATTAGGAAAACGGTGTACAAGCTAGGAAATGCTTGCAACAACTAGAGGAAACGATGTAGAAAACAGTACAACATGGAGGACACGCGTGAACATGCTAGGAGGCATGTAACATGTTAGAAAAATACAGTGAAAACCTAGGAAAATGTTATATCTAAAAATGCTTTAAAAATACGTGAAAACCAAGACAATGTTAACGAGCGGAAACGTTGAGCAGGAAATCCGATTTGGTTTCTGTAGATAATGTTAGATGATGAGCAATGTAGTTTGGTGATAGGAAATAGTGGCTGACTCGCGTACAAGACATTGCCATGAAACCTTGGAGCAAGATGCGGATGGTATAGGAAAAAAGATGTATGAGTTGTAAGATTTTAAGAGTTGCATGGGAAAATTGGTTTCATGGTAATCTGTGTGAAGTTAGAAAAGTGTGATTTCGTTCACAGAGTAAGAAAAATAAATACAATCTGCAGATTAGAGTATTTATAATTATAATGCTTAAAACTGTTTGACGTTTTTTGGTGCCTCCCTGATTCTGGTAGTTTTGCGATAAGAACTACAAAAACGATCTACTGGTAAACGGAAGGAATAGTCTTTCCGGTTTAGAACTGAGTCGACTGTCAAGTGATGCATAGGCTCCAGGCCTCTGGTTATTGTCACAAAGCATTGGAATGAAGATTGCGCCCAGGAGCCACCTAGGTTAGGAGACAAATGCTGTAATATCATTGTAAGAGGCCGTACTGAGAAGGCTGAAACGGAACTAAAAGTGAATCTTGTACTAAAACATCGAGAAAGAATTTGAATCTTCTAATGGCAATGACGGGAATGATATGCATCTGTACGTCCGTGATAGTATGCGTGCCTTTTAAAAGGGATGTTTGGCTAGTGGGATAGCTGAGAAGATTTTCCGGGATGCCAAACAATTATCTCTATCGATGTCAGGGATGATGCTATTCCGCGACATTTCCTGTAAAATACCTATTTTCCAGACCCTTGGGGGGTGGGGGGGGTACCCAGGTCTGTAAATGGCCTAAATATATATACTCTTGATTTGGACTGCATGTTCGCCACTGTTCTCTATTTCCCGTGGGTTTTGCATTGTTTTCCTCGATTTTCATTCGTTCTTATACCCTTTCTTACGTATGTTATAATATTGTCTTGGGTTTGCACTGCCCATTTTGTGAGTAGAGCTATATTTGATTTCTCACCGTACGGCCAAAATGTTGCGGAACTTCGCGGAGAAGCATGGACCACGATTCTGGGGAGAAAACAATTTAGACTTTGAGAGGTCACATGACCACTGTTCACACAAAAAAACGGGTATTATTTATCTACGATAGGTGGGAGCAAACTTGCGCTGTTTTAAGATAAATGAGCAACCAAAGGCGGATTTACGGAACTTGAGATAGAACTTTTCACAATGCCGCAGTACATTGTAGGAAACATATTTGGATATAGAAGTTACAAAATCGTGGAGTTTACCCTAAAAAGGTCCATTTAATGATTGGAAAATTATGACCCGATAGCAATTGTTGATGTTGGGGCGCTTCATGTTTGAGCCATGCCATATGGATGAGGTGGAGTTTCACGCGCCCCCGCGCGAGTCAAAAAGCAAGCGCTGGCTTTCGTTCCACCCCTTCTCAGGTTATTAAGGGGTCGTCAAGAAAACTAGCCAGAAGGTACCCCCCTACCTTCTGGGAGGGGGGAGGTTTATTAATCCGGTGTTGGCATTATATAATGTAGTGGATGATTAAAACATAACCATATATTTAGTGGATATATAGTTAGTGGGGTCATCCCATTTTCTTCATCCATTTTGGCGGCCACGTTGCCGCAGAGCGTGCTGGCCTTCACGGATGCCTTGGATCGCTCCAGCGGAACGAGCTTCGCCGTGGCCACGGCCAAGGCGCTGGCGACTTGGATCCCGGAACAGCGGTGCCGCCAGCGAGGTCTTTGAGATGTTTTAATGCTGGGAAACCATGGTGATTTATGGTGATTTATGGAGATTTATGGAGATTCACTTGGATGAATGGTGATAAATAGAGATGAACTTGGATGAATGGTGATGAATAGTGATGAACTTGGATGAATGGTGATGAATAGTGATGAACTTGGATGAATGGTGGTGAGAGAGAGTGATTAACATTGGATGAATGGTATAATATTAATTGTGATTAGCTTGGACTAATGGGAGGTCCCCAACTAAATGGTTTACAGTATAGCTAGAAACACAATCTATCAATAGTGATTCATGGTGATTAACGATTGTTTTAGGCGGCCATGTGTCATTTTAATGGTGATGAGCTGTTGAATAATTGTAAATTCATTTAAGGTGATGTGTAATTACTACCATTAGGAGGTAGTTATTTGTTTGAAGTAATTTGGGGAAAGTGGTTACTTCACTTCCAGCGGGAAATTCTGTTTAATCAATAGAATCAATAGTGATCAAAAAAATATATATATATATATGATTAACAATTATTAACCATTATTAACCATTATTACGAACAACATTTCCCATTATAACCTTAACAAACTGATGATGAATGGTGATGAACTTGGACTTGCTGATAGTTATTTTTCCCCGATGGGAAATCCACCACAAAGTCAACATTGTGGGAATCTACGGATTTTTTTTGGGTGTGTGACTCTTTAAGCAAATCTCTCTATATATCTATCTATCTATCTATCTATCTATCTATCTATATATATATATATAAGTAGCTTAGAACTTCAACCTAACTTGCCCTCCACCAAATTAACATCGACCCTGACAATAGTCACTTGTTGGGTGGGAAGTCATCTTCCAGCCCCCCATTTGGCAGGGTCTAATTCATTCTATATCAATCTATATCATACAAGTAGGGGCAGTGCAACTGGTTGGTTTATACATGTTCGCAACATAACATGACATTTAAATTAAATCCTATAACATCCTAGAACATAATATAAGATGACATTGCAAAGTTGATTTGCGGCCAACATAATCTAACAGAACTAGACACGACAAGGAGTTATGGTAGATCTATTGTATCTACAAGTTCGGACATGACCCCCCGTAGATTAAGAATATTAAGGGAGGGGTGAGCCCTTTTCCACCCAATCGGTAAATGATGATTGATGATACAGCAGACTGGCACCTCTACTTTTGCTAAAAGGACGCTACAGATACCTGGTTTTGAAGCTCTGCGAAATGCAGACAATCTCTGAGACTGTCGACATTTCCAAAGAAACGCAACTCCGTAGATGCTTGTCCCCAAAAAATAGGCTACCCTCTCATTGATGGCTATGAAATTATTTGTCCATATGCAGGGGTTGGAAATCATAGAGGCGCTTACAGCCTGGACTCTCCCCAAGCGGCCCAATATTTTTTCACTTCCCCAGGTGGATGAATGGAATATCCATTGGATGTCGTCGTTCCTCAGAGGCCAAAAACATAAACATCTTCATCAAGCCACCATTGTGGGTTGTAGATTTATCGACATGGCTGTTGGACATTTTCTGAATGTATGATATTAAAATGGACAATATCCCATTTGGATTATTTAACTACCCATCCAACGTTGGGGATAAATTCAGAGTTATTGTCCAACATGGACATGTTTTAAATTATCCCCAACGTTGGTACCGGGTAGCCTAGAAATGGACAATGTGACCATAACAGGCGATGGTTATTTTCCTTTTTATTGTCTTGAAATATTGAATGATATGCGACTACCAAAGAGAACCGCAGAGGATAGCCAGAATGTTTTTTTCTACAAAGTTGCCTTGGTATTTGGTATCATCATAATGCTTTTAACGATAGGGAGAGAGATGCTCATGAGTTAAAAGATAATGGATGGCAACATGGTTGGGGAGTGCTCCTCTAGTCGACACTTTGGGTCCAACCCCTTCGCTGTGGACACCACAGTGTCACAGCCCGTTCCTTATTCTCTTTGGCGCTCCCAAAGCAAAACAGCAAAACTGACCTTCTAGCTGGATATGGAGGGAAGGTGTCATCGAAGGATGATGATTTTTCTCGTGCGAAGTTGGACGCGTCGTCTCCGGTGGCGTCGTCTCTGGTGGCAAGGCGCTCGAGTTTAGGCAATGGGAGATCTCCTTCCCGACCAGCCATAGCTTCCTCAGGGAGGCGGCATCTTCAGAAATCCTGAAGCCACAGAATCGCCGGGTGGACATTAATATAGTCATTTTGGGATACCCTTTGGTAAACTAACATAACTATGGAAAATTACTTTACTTCGTGTGATCCCCACCATGACATTTATACATTTTCTTACTGGCAAATCTTCTGGCATTCTATCTGACATATCTTCTGACATTCTATTTGGACATTCTATCTGGCATATGATCTGGCATATCTTCTGGCATATCTTCTGGCATTCTATCTGGCAAATCTTCTGGCATTCTATCTGCATATCTTCTGGCATTCTATCTGACATATCTATTCTATCTGGCATATCTTCTGGCATATATTCTATATCTTCTGGCATTCTATCTGGCATATCTTCTGGCATATCTTCTGGCATATCTTCTCTTCTGGCATTCTATCTATCTTCTGGCATTCTATCTGCATTCTATCTGGCATATCTTCTGGCATATTATCTGGCAAATCTTCTGGCATTCTATCTGGCATATCTGGCATATCTCTCTCTTATCTTCTGGCTCTATCTGCATATCTTCGACATATCTTTTTCTTCTGTCTTTCTGACATTCTTTCTAACTTTCTTCTGCACATTCTTTGTCCCAATCTTCCTACATGAGGTCCGGCAGGGAACACTGGGCGGGATGGTCGTGGTTGAGGTCCGGCAGGGAACACTGGGCGTGGATGGTCGTGGTTGAGGTCCGGCAGAGAACACTGTGGATCGCGGGTCGCAGTTGAGCAAGGACGACGAGGACGACGAGGAGGACAAGGAGGAGGAGGAGAGGAGGACGAGGCAGGAGGAGGCGGAGGAGGAGGAGGAGAAGGAGGAGGAGAAGGAGGAGAAGGAGGAGGAGGAGCAGGCAACTGACATAAAATCTAACAACCCTCACCTGGCAGGTGGGGAATCACCATTTTTAATGGGACAATCCACTATAAATGGTCATTTTCAATAGCTATGTTAAATTACCAGAGGGTAATTAAGATTGTGATCATGCTCAATAATTATATATCCATAATAATGTCCATGTACAGTGTAGTAACCCCATTGAACATTATATATATATATATATATATATGGATGGATAATTGGAATGCACAATTCAAGATAAAATTGAGGTTCAACTTACCACTATTTTAGATGTTTAGATTTCCTTTTCGGCATCTTTTTTGGGTTCATATCATTAAAAAATAACTGATGATTCCCCAAAAAACACGGTAACCAAGTTGGATAGTAACTAGTGATCAGTCAATACCATTCTAAAGGGAGGCTTAATTATTTTAGGTTTTTTTTTTGATCAGGTTTAGGATTTTTTTTGGATTCCTGCTTCTCTGCTTTTCCTGCTTTTCCTGCTTTTCCTGCTTTTCCTGCTTTTCCTGCTTCTCTGCTTTTCTGCTTTTCTGCTTTTCTGCTTCTCCTGCTTCTCGCCTTTTCTGCTTTTTTGCTTTTCTGCTTCTCCTGCTTCTCTGCTTTTCTGCTTTTTGCTTTTCTGTTTTTCCTGTTTCTTTGCTTCTCTGCTTTTCCTGCTTTTCCTGCTTCTCTGCTTTTCCTGCTTCTTTGCCTTTCTGCTGTTTTGCTTTTGTGCGTTTCCTGTTTCTTTGCTTCTCTGCTTTTTTTTTTGCTTTGCCTGCTTTAAATACTTGATTTTCATGTAAGATGCATTTTGCACAATATTTACATCCCCGAGTATCACATGACCAACCTTCTTTTGAAAACTAGCAACGTAACATGTGAGAAGAGGTGCTTGCATTCTGCTTTGGGGGAGGCGCTGCGCCCTCCCCCCAATCCCCCCCTCCCGCTTTTTTTTATTTAAACTTAAACCCAAGTTACATTAGTTGGTTTTTGCGAACTAACCTTCTCTGGAAAGCTGACAGGATTACATGTGATAGATAGATAGATAGATTAGATAGCTGGATAGATAGATAGCTTGGTAGATAGATAGCTAGATAGATAGATAGCCAGCTAGATAGATAGATAGATAGATAGCTAGAGAGATAGATAGCTAGATACCTCGATAGATAGATGGCTAGATAGATAGCTAGATAGAAAGATGGCTAGATAGATAGCTAGATTCTAGATAGATAGATAGCTAGCTAGATAGATAAAGAGGTAGCTAGATAGATAGCTAGATAGCTAGATAGCTGGATAGACAGCTGGATGGCTAGATAGATAGCTAGATAGATAGAAAGCTAGATAGCTAGATAGCTAGATAGATAGTTAGCTAGATAGCTCGATAGCTAGATAGCTGGATAGACAGCTGGATGGCTAGATAGATAGATAGCTAGATAGATAGAAAGCTAGATAGCTAGATAGCTAGATAGATAGTTAGCTAGATAGCTAGATAGGTAGATAGATAGCTAGCAAGATAGCTAGCTAGATAGGTAGATAGATAGCTAGATAGATAGATAGCTTGCTAGATAGATAGCTAGCTTGCTAGATAGATAGCTAGCTAGATAGCTAGATAGCTAGCTAGCTGGATAGATAGCTAGCGCCCTCCCTCAATCCCCCCCACCCGCTTTTTATCTAATCCCAAGCTTCCGCATCTGTAAATATTTGGGTGAACATGCTCACATGTAGAACATCCCATGCAAAATGGAAGGTGAACATGCCAAAATGTGGCAAATACCATACAAAATGGAAGGTGAACATGCCCACATGTAGGAAATCCCATGCAAAATGGAAGGTGAACATGCCAAAATGTGGCAAATACCATACAAAATGGAAGGTGAACATGCCCACATGTAGTAAATCCCATGCAAAATGGAAGGTGAACATGCCCAAATGTGGCAAATACCATGCAAAATGACAAATTCAAGTTCCAAACCGTTGCAAACACTAGGCAAATGGTACCAGCCAAGAAATCCAAAAAAAAATCCCAAACCTGCTCAATTTTTCAATCCCAAAACTATTTCACACCCATTCTAAAGGCAACATTCCCATATGCAGAAGATCTTCGCATACCAAATCTTCATCGTATTCCGGACCTGTGTAAGAATATGGGCCTAATATGGGTAAGAAATTGTTAGAATCTCTAACGTAGTAATTCTAACAATCCGGGTAAGATATTGGGTAAGCGTTGGAATCTCTAATCATATTAGGCCCGGTAATACTATTAGGCGAATCTCTAATTGTTACAGTTATGGCCATTTATATCCATTTATTAGTTATAACTGGTTATAAGTGGGATTATACATGTTATAAATGGGATTATAAGTACTTATAACTGGTAAAGGGCCATAACTGTAGAATCCCGGGTAAGCCCGTAGTATGAGCGTCTCCCGCGTCGCGGAACGCGTCGCGGGTTCCGCGTCAGCTGAGGGCCTTCCGTCCTCCGTGCCGCAGCTCGCCCACGGCTTCACGACGGATCTCTATGAAGGACGAGCATCGTCAAAAGGGTGCGGTTGATGGGGGTTGATGGGGGCTTTAATGCTGATTAATGATGGTTGATTATCAATGATGATGATGTTCAACATGATTTTCATCATGATTAATAGGGATATTAATCATCATTATTCATGTATGTATATATATATATGTATGTATATATATATAGATGTGTGTGTATATATGTGGGTGTGTATACATATACATATATATAGTTGATAATGTTTAATCGTGATTAGTAGGGATTAATAGTGATAGAGAGTGATTAATACTGATTAATGCTGTTAATGTAAATGGAGGACATCTTCCACAATAGGACTTTCATAGTGATCTATAGTCATTAATGATTCATAGGTGATTCCAGACGCAGCCAGATTGGGGTTGGCCTTGCTGATGTGTTGTGTTCATGTCACCGGCTGTCGCCAATGACAATGACTCAAGTTTTTGACTTGATGGATTCATTATTGTTATTGTGTTGGTGGATTTCATTCATGTTTTTCAATGATTTTCATGGTTCATTTTAGGATGTTTGATTTTTGTTTGCAGAACCAATGTAACTTCTGGATTTTCCCTGTGATATTGTTTCCTGGGGCACTTGGATCTTCCCAAGGTTAACTAAGTCATAACTAGTCTTCAACTGGGGCATCCCACGGGCGTGACCATCATGGGGTTACAACCCAGTGGTCAAACCGCGGTTATTGGGAGGGGCTTGTTGCAGAACCTGAAAATCCACTTGCATTGGCATCAAAGCAAGACATGAAGTTGCCTCTCAGCCCAGCAGGAACAAGAAATTCAGCAGGGGTGCTTCTTTTCAATTTTTCAATGAAGCCCAAGTTTGCAGCTTCAAAAATGTTCCAATTCCAGTACAACCCTGGTGGAACAGGAAAAAAACTGTAATAGGTCCCATTGGTACCCCAGCACAGATGCGGCTGCAAGGGCCATCTGGTGGTATGCTGTGGAGTCCTGGAGGGAAAAAGGCGGGGGAAACAACAGCTCCAGAAAGGGGAAGCAAAAGAAACAATAACCAGAAGGAGAAGAGGATCCTACAGGGGAGGAAGCAAAAGAAACAAGAAGCGACAAGAGGAAAAGGGGACAGCAGTTTGAGTATGAAGCTGGCTATGGCCGCGAAGGAGCAAAAAGGAAATTGTTTTCTTGATACCCTCTGGTAAGCTAACATAGCTATGGAAAATCACATTTTTTAATGGGTAAAATCAACTAAATGACAATTTTCAATAGCTATTTTGACATAACCAGAGGGTACCCCACCAAAGAGCAGGCTGCAAGGGCCCGCATCAAGCTGAAGGGCTTGCTGGATGACTAGATTTCATCGTCCATCACGAAGCTGAGGAAGATGCGCCTAGAGCTTTTAAGGCAAAAAAAAATGGCTAAAACGCGATAAGACACGATGATTTACACCAGGACAAATAGCTAAAAGATGAGGCGCTGGCCTGCTAGGGAAACATGTCCATGGCGAAGCTGGAAACAAAGGCTTGGGCTTTCTGCTGGAGGCACTGGAGCCACTGGGCCCTTTAGAATTGCCACGCCCCTTTTCTCTTGTCTACAACAATGTCCATTGGAGACCCATGCAGCAGCACCCAGCGGCACCAGCAACCCAGCTCCCAAACTGCAGACATGCAACTCTGCCTAGACTTGAAGTAAGAACCCCAATAGCTTTGCTATTTGGGGAATAAATGAAGTTTAGTGGTTAATGACCCTGGTGATCGTAAGTCCCGTAAGTCCCCGATGTGTGCGTTCTCCCATACATGAATCTAACTATACGGTCTGGGTAAATTCTAGCGACCTCACTGCGACCGAACCCTGAAAGGATGTAGACACATCCCTTACTTATGCCTAGAATCTAGTGAAATATGATAATTGACCCAGATGAATTATTTCCAATATACTAGATTATTTTGAATTACAATTGGTCAACTACATCGGGGTCAATTATGTATTACACTAGATTATTATTGTAATTATACAATGTGAGGCCCCCAAGATAGCTAAGTTGGTTTATAACTCCAATAACTATTGTTTATGGTACTTATAACGAACTAGTTACTGGGGCCGGGGCGAATCTAAACCAACATTCACATAACTGGGGGGCCCCACATTGTAACATTCCTTAAAAAAATACGTTGGACCAGGGAATGATGCTGCACCATCGTCAGGAAGTCTGCCGAGTGTGGAAGCCATCCTTCAGCGAGCTGAGGACGATCCGAGATGTCCTGCATTGATCACGATGGAAGAACCAACAAAGCAACATGGAAATATGATGGGAAAATGTAGGTCTGGTTGATGATTAATATCAATTAATGATTGGCTTAATCCCATATTAATATTGTCCCATAGTTATATGGAATTTACCAATGGAGATATTATATACTGTAATCGGGTTGGTGGTTTCATTTTTTTATGTTCCATAATATATGGGATAATCCTTCCCATTGACTAATATGTTTCAAGAAAGTTAAAACCACCAAGCAGGAAATATGATGGGAAAATGTAGGTTAATCATCAAAAGTACAAAAGACATGAATATAGCCAAGACATTCGGATGAAATTTAAATATAGTTATGGGATATGATATCACTGCTGAAGCAACACATTCATTTTTGTTCCAAACATGGGGGGTGATGTTTACCGAACCAGCTGGGAGACAAAATCTCAAGAAACTGGAGAAAACGAGCGACATCTATTGGGAAAATTGACTCAAATCAAACAACTACCATCTGGTTATGACTAACATAGCCATGGAAAATCCCCATTTTTAATAGGTAAACCATCTATTTCTATGGAAGCCATGGCTTCCATGGCAAACTGTTAGTCATAACCAGAGGGTATCATCAACTCATAAGCCATTTTCTGTAGGAAATCCATTCGCCATGTTTTCGTAGGCTGGGATTTTCCAGCCTTTAAAAGCATCAAAAAAACCCAAATGCTCCATGGTGCTGGAAATATTTACCAACATTTACCCGAACAAAATCACCCAGTTATGTGGGTAAATATACATAAATATACCAGCACCATGGAGCATATGGGAAAGTAGCCGGAAATTAACACCACCAATCTTCCAATCGCAGGCCGCCAGGCGCTTCTTGCGCACTTTGATGCGGCACCTGCCAGCAGATCAGGCGCGGTCTTTCCGCTAACGTAGATTTCCAGTGGCTTTGAAGATGGTGGAATGTGTGCTAAACCCATGGTAAACCCATGGTAAACCCATGGTAAACCCATACCACATCATACCACAAGGTGGTGCGCCCCCTTATGAGTTGGTTTAAAACTCATAGGAAGTATGGAAGTATAGATCTACCATAAAGATCCATAAGTCCAGTCCGCAAGTTCTCCACCAACTCGGCTATCGTTTGGCACCACCTTTCACCTATTTATGTTTTTTTTGAGATGATTCTTTGTTGGATTGGCCAACTTGATCGACTTAAATAACCAGCAACCAGCAACCAGCAATGAATGTTTAGCAACGAAAGTTGGGACTGGAGATTTTGTCACCAAGCAAAACATTGGTTTGTTGACCAAGAAAAAACACAAGAAACAAGGGATCGAGCCAACAAACATTTGGGTCGAGGCCCTGATCCCTATGATTTGGCTTAGCAATGGAGATCCAACTGGGGAGCTTCGTTCCAAAAAAATTGGACCGATTGTTCTACGGGACGTGGCTCGATTGTGGATGGCGTAGAAGGTTGGCAATGCCTTTCCCCCACACTTTCCCCATGAAACGAAGGGGTTTTGTATGGTTTTGTATTGGATCCAGGCATTTCTGGTGCCCATCAAAAGGCAGAGAGGATGGTTGCAATGCAAAAAAAAAACATGAGACACATGACGCACGCAATTTCCCACCCATGAATTTAGATGAATTTCCCAACGTCTCCCTGATTTTAGACCACATCCCCAAAAACTGGCGGTATATCATTGTTTGAAGATGAACTATATGTTCTTAAGTTATTGTTAATAACTGGAGGTCAGTTGGATAGTTTATGATAGTTTAACAATGCCCCAAGTGCTTTTTTAGCCCAAACAAACTTCGCCCAGATTTCCTGCGGACCCACCGAAAAATCAAACATGTCGTGTTGCCCTACCAGGCCAAGGCGGTGCAACGGCGGCTCTTGGAATTTGCGACTTGGTTTTCCCCAAAAAAAAACGGGCCGGTAAATTGGTCGGTCAATGGGGACATGGTCTTCAACCAACAAGACTAGTTTTAAGATGTTTTAAGCATAAAAAACTGGGAGTTTCACCAACAACAATGGTGATTTCATAGGGATGTGATGAGGATTCATGTGGCTTAATCCCGTCCCTAATATCAGAGACTCCCTGCCCCAAATATTCGTGTAAATCCACTAAACCATGGTTGACGGTGAGTGCTTAACATTTGGGGGACAGGATTGCGGGAAGTCGCCAATGGGGGGAAGTGGCTGGGGTTGGAGAACTGTAGATTCGAATCTTCTGGGGTAACGTAAGAGTGATTTGAGAAGAGGTTCCTACTTCTTTACCATGGAAAATGACCATTAATAGTGGATTTTCCCATTAAAAATGGTGATTTTCAATAGCTATGTTAAATTACCAGAGGGTACATGTTGTTGTTCGGTGATTCAACCCAACTACTTGTATTGCGTTGATGAGCTGTGAACGTTGTAGACATTGCCAATTCTTATTACGACGTTATATCCCAATCTACAGGGGTTTTTGACACAATCCTAGAACTGGAGGATGGTTTATCCTAAAATTTCTCTATTGCGAGGTGCAACCCAAGGAGAAAAACCATAATCCTACAGCTTGGTTTCCCGTAGAATTTACATCAATTTACCATAGACCAACTCAATCTGGTTGGTGGTTTCAAAGATTTGCTATTTCCCAGAATAGATGGGATAATTCTTCCCATTGACTTACTCATATTTTTCAAGATGGTTACCCTCTGGTAAACTAACATAGCTATGGAAAATCACCATTTTCAATGGATAAGTCAGCTATAAATCACCATTTTCAATAGCTATGTTAAATTACCAGAGGGTAAAACCACCAACCAGCAATGCACATATTTTTTCCAACTGTTGAACGCTTCGGCACCAAGGTGGCCTTGAATAGCCGGGAACCCTTGGCCAACTGCATTGGGCCGCGTGGCAGGAATTTGGCCAAGGGTGGACGACTGGCCGGTGAAATAAATCTGAGGGGAAGGGCAGGAAGGTTGGCATCGAATGTGATGGCCTTTTAATAGGTGATGATAGAATTTCATTCCATGTGGATTTTCATTATCATGTAATGATGGAGTAAAATCATTTTCCTGGATTGGATTTTCACTGGTTCTCCAGCATTTCATGTGTTTCAAGATGAGTATTAAAAGCACATTTTCTCGCCCATGGTGTCAGGTAAATGGAAGTAACTGTGCTGCCTAGACGATCTGGGATTGTGGGGGAAGGAACTTTACAGCCTCAAATCAGGGTTTGCATGTATCTTGAAGTAGGCAAACCTAGCATTCTGGATGCATTTTAGCATCCCCCAAAAAAAGAGCGGGATGTGGATGCTATGACACACTTAAACAAACATAATTGAACTTGGGTACCATTTGGTAATTTCACAGTCATTTTTTCACTGAGGCCAAATAATTTCACAGTCATGGTTTCATTCAGGTAAATCATAGACTTTCACTTGCCATGGGTTTCATAGCAAAGTGCAACAGATTACTAGGGGATAAACAGGTGCCCAGTAAGTATTCAAATCCAAAACATCAAAATTCCAGTTTGTTGATTGTTGGTTATATGTTTTAGCATTTGCTACTGGTTCCCCCATCTTATGTTGTACCTTACCTACTACTCTATGTAATCCGTCCTGAGTCTTCCCATGATTTCCCATTTGAACGACCGGAGCATTCTTACGACCGTCCCCCGCCGGTAGGTTGTTGCCCGGCATCCTCCCGGACGCCTGTGTCCACAGCTGGACCTTCTGTCGCAAGACCATGCCGGCCGTCTCTCGGCGGCGGCTGATGCTGACTGGTTGGCTATGGTCATAAGATGTCACTTAGGGGGTATAACATGGTATAACATGATATAACTATAATAATCATATTGTAAATTATTGTTGTCAAAAAATGTGAGATCATGAGTTAAATGGAATTTAATGGGATATAGTTACAGTAGTTTGATTTTAGTTTTTCTTTAAATGGAAAATCACATATAAGAACCAGTCAACCAGCCAAAAAAAAGTTTTTGTGGACTATCAAAGATTGTAACCTGCAGTACGTTTAAAGGGATTAATGGTGATTCCCTTGGAGAGTAAAGAATGACTGTAATAACAGATCTGCTTATCCTCAATCATCTTCATTACCTTTACTGGGATTGAGAAGGATTAATGGCAATTGTAGTATCAGTTCTAATTACATTCAATGCCATTAATCCTTCTCAATTGCATTATGGCAATTGATGATACAATTGGATTAATTAGATTAGATTATGGCAATTGATGAATGATTGTTATAACATTCATTCTAATTAGGATCCCCATAGTAATTCCTTGGATTTTTTGCGGATCATAATGGAGATTGATAGGGATCAACGGAGATTCATAGGGATACTATTGGGATAATAATGGGATATTAGCGGATAATCAATGGATTTACCCTCTGGTAATCAAACATGGGCTAGCTTGGAAATCCCTTTTCAATGATGAAATGAAGGTTTTAATGCGACATTCAACTTTCAATCAAGGATCATTTCCACACAACTAAGGGTTTTGTTTTTTTTGTTCAATAGCCCAACAACAAGTATCAACAAGTTCAGTTTGTTTCAAGCATTTTGTTTGGGTGCTAATCGTTTGAAATCCGCCGCAAGCTGGTCATGAATATGAGGAAAACTTCGAAACGCGGAGCCAAGATGGTCCAATGATTGAAAACTCCCAGGTCCACTGATTGGGTCGCATCGCTGTCTCCTGATTCAGGTTTGCAGATGTGCCTCAGGCAGGGGGTCGACTGGGTCATGATTGGGTGATGTTCAGGGCATGTCCAGATCCATGGCATCAGTCAAGGGATAGACGGATAGACGGATAGACGTCTACTGTAGCAGTTGGTGAAAAACATCTGGTGCAGCTCACGACAGCAAACATGGGCTCGAAAAAAATAACCCTTTAACCTAGCATATGAAACTATGATCAAATCATCATACGAAACCATCATTAAGCAATCATTAAGTTCCATTGAACCAAAATAATTATTCAGCCCATCGAAACTCAACAGCATTAAAACTTTTTAACCCCCCTGTTAAACCACCATGAAATCATATAAATCATATTTATACATATCTGGTTGGTTTGGAACGTGGCTTTTATTTTTCCATATGTTGGGAATGTCATCATCCCAACTGACTTTCACTCCATCATTTTTCAGAGGGGTAGGTATACCACCAACTAGATTATTAACCATCATTAACCATCATTAACCATATAATAACCATATAATAACCATATAATAACCATATAATAACCATATAATAACCATATAATAACCATATTGACTATTGAACCAAAAAAATGAAACTTATTGAACCTCCATTTTTTCTAGGTGCCGATCCCGACTTGGCAAACTCGCCTGGCGCCCCTGGCGCTGAGACTTTGGCTCTTGAGGCGAAGCTGTTTCGGTCATGGGGAGACTGTGATGGCTTTGGGTTCATGGGGGTATCATGGAAGATGATAGGAAGACCATAGGAAAACCATAGGAAAATGGGAAAATCGTAGGAAAACCATAGGAAAACCATAGGAAAACCATAGGAAAATGGAGGTTTACCGTTATAAGTACTTAGAAAACCCCATAGAAATAACATGTATATATAATCCCACAGAAATAACCAGTTATAACTTTCATAAATGGCCATAACTGTATCAATTGATTGGTTACCCTCTGGTAAACATACAAAAAGCTGATGGGAAAATGACCATTTATAGTTGATTTACCTATTAAAGATGTATGGATAATGGGAAAATATTGGGTTACCCTCTGGTAAACATAGAAAAAACTGATGGGAAAGATCCACCATATTATAGCTGGGAAAATCCACTATTTCGACTGGGCCATTTTCAATAGCTATGTTTGTTTACCAGAGGGTAAAGGGAAAATCTGTAGGAAACCATTGAAACATTGTTTGACCCATGAATTTAATTCGAGGCCTTTCCTGTAGAATTTCCCTTCAATCCAATGATTGTAGCAACATGATGAGTCTAAGAAGGTGAATTCTGATTCTTACCAGCACAGACTTGATTTTGACAATTTTTGACCACTACTTAAGTAGATGTTTCTTCGGTAAAGCTACATAAAATATCATAAAATATCATAAACTGTGATTCTTGAACAGCCAAACGGCTGATTTGGCGACACAACGATGTGGCGTTTGAAACGTGGGTTTCAATGGGATGTGCCGAGAAATTGGGTTTGGGGCGGATTCCAAGGTGGCCACCTTATGGCATTACAAAATTTGTCGAGGGTGCCAGTGCAGTTTAAAAATACATACAGTTATGGCCCTTTACCAGTTATAAGTACTTATAACCCCATTTATAACATGTATAATCCCACTGAAATAACCAGTTATAACGAATAAATGGCCATAACTGTAAAAACCTTGGGTACACCGAAGTGGTTTTTATAGGAAACATATGTTGAGCAGATGTCGGAAAGAACATTCTCGCACATGTGCATAATCCTCGATCTTAGAGGTGCATTGCACTGGTTCGAAGTATATAATATAACATGTTTAATGCCTATTTCACCTACGTGCAACTTCCCTGCGGCATTCCATTGAAATATCGGCATATGTTAGATACCCGATTTTGTTGATTCATTGTGCCCCATTTCTGTTGCCCATATTCGTCTGGGTGGGTCAGAACCCAAAAGGCACTAAAATTTGGTAGATGAATAATTACCCTGAAGCCAACTATATGTATATGCATGCAATATAATATGATTAAAATTCACACACACACATATATATACATTATATATTTATTCTTGTCACATACTGTATGAATGTACATTATGTTTGTTTATGTGCCATATATATATATACATACATATATATATATATACATACATATATATATATATATATACATACATATATGCACTCATATATATATATATGTGTGTGTTCTAGTAGCGTCTCAATTGACCACACTATGTTCGTATATTCATATTCAACGGGGTGGGCTGTTGATCCATCCATTTTGGCGCAGCTGGCGAAAATCGCATCAGGCTTTAGAGGCTTTAGTGGAATCCTGCCCCAAAGAAGAGGCGTGCCGAATCTTGGGAAAGTGGAGTTGAACGACCGAACCCTGTTCTCCCGAACCCTGGAATCCTGCTTAATAAGGGAAATCATCCCCAAATGGCCGCACAAATTCAGGTTAGTGATAGTGAAATATGATAATTTACCCAGACTTATGATTTTGTTTGTCTGCACATTTGCGTTTTTCGGGATTCATGTTGCATGCTGGTTTGCCAAGGTGTTTGCGACATCCGGAAGCCATCTTGGAGAGGTTAAAGGAATGACCCGCCTATGGCATTCGTACAGCTACAGGTTGTCCCCCAATCAACGTTGAAGTCCACGATGATCCCAAAATCTGGTGTCAGACTTTGGCGTTCAAAACTCCTGGAGATGGCAATGGAGAAAAGAGAGACACGATTTCCAACGACAAGTCCCTTCAAATTCCCCCATATTCCCTTATTTTATGCTAGGAAAATCTGCTACAAACTTCACTGTGTCTGTTTCCTGCAGATCTTTTCCCTTTAAGCCAATCGGAGGCGGTCTTTTTTGTGCCGGGTTAAGAGTTGACCCTAGCAAGCCCTTTTTATAGAAGGACCTAGACCCTCCAAGTACCTAGAAACAATCGGGTCATATAACTGGTAAGAAAATCATTTTGGGACTCTTACTTCCTTTCACCAATTTTTGACATATTGTTTTAATTCTTCTTTCACCCATTTTTGTGGATACTTGGATGGTCTAAATGGGTCTAAGGATGTATAAGTGCCCCTAACATGCCCCGCTAGACCTCCAAGTCCTTGCACATCCAAGTGCATCCTGAGAAGGTAGCCACTACCTAAGCCTCAAATAATGCCGCAACTTGGACCCTCTCAGTAGGTACTTAGGACCCACTTAAATATATGACATACTATATATAAGATACACACAAGACGAGGGAGATGGGGGAGAGATATATGTAGGTATAGATACACATAAATATACATATATGCATACATGTATATATATATATAGAGTTCCTTCGTGGAATTGGTAGTTGATGATCAGATCGGTTTATGAAAAATCACTTGGTGCTGTGAGAGAACACCCCACATTGCAGGTGTCCATCTTGCTGGAGAGCCTTGAACGCAGAAAAATGTTCTTCCCCGGATGCTGGCTGACTTGTGGAACTGTATGGAACTGTTGGAACTTTTTGATTGGTTAGCTTGGATGGGTTTGACTAGTTTGACTTGGCAATTTTTCGGAACTTGTTGGAATTAAAATCATCTTGTAAAGGTTTCTTTTGAGCTTGTGTTGTGTTTTAAATGTGTTTGGGGGGTGGTTTGTTTTGGGACCGGTGCAAAGGAGTACTTTTGCAAAGTGAGTGGCCGTTGACGGACGGGGGGATGCCTCTGCACACGACTTTTGAGCCTCAGGGGTCGGGAGTTGAACGTGGCATACTATGATCATTGAGCAACATGATCATACGAATGTGGGTAAAACAATACCATAAACCACACATGACTGGGAATTGTTTATACCACCTATAAAAATGGTGATTTGGGGAATAGTTTTGTTTATTATTGTTTTACCCACATTATTTCAAGTGACCTTACTTAGAACATTCATGAGCATTGTCAAGCTATTTTACGAAAATTCCCCCTATTAAGGACCTCAACATATCCATGCCATCTGCCAAGGAACTTCCGAGACACCTTTGGAAGACTTCTGCGAGGTGGGTAAACGTTTTGAAAGGTAAACTTTGATCTTGAGGTTGCTCCGTAAATCATAGACGCACGGGGGTGAATTGGTCTTTCTGCTTGTGCCCAGCTTCCCCCAAAATTTCTTTGGGGTGTTGGAGCATCTCTGATTCAGCTCAATTTGATAAATCTAAATCGATTTCAATCGTCATTTTCCTGCGATATATCCCATTAGACCCCCATGATGTTTACACTGTTTTATAGATGATGTTCCTGTATCAAAGACCCGAAATGGCCTCAATTTGTGGTTAGTCAACCCTTACTTGAATCCCATATAATCCCACTGCATGTTTTTGTTGGCTTTTCTGAACATATATCCCACTATTACCTCGATATACCCCGATTCTATTTCCAATTTATAGATCTTAGTATATCTATATATACATGCCAAATATACCATTAAAAGTACTAAACCAACCACCAACAACCAAAAGTTCAATAACCACGCTTAATAGAAGATCCGCTTATGTATATCATATGTTTAATAAACCAAAACCCTGAAAACACGTATTTTTTTGAATGTATAACAAAGGTAACAATCATAAAATGATAAATATAATTAATATAACTACCATTAATATCATCCCCAACCATTCATAATATCCATTAATAATCCATTAATAATCCATTAAAGGTTGGGGATGATATTCCATTCCTAATCCATTAATAAAAAATCCCCAAGCAAAAGGAAGGGTAGTTTAATCCTGTAGTTTTTGTTACTGGAAAATCATCTTTGCCAAGCAGCAAAAGATGACGTTTTTTCTTGTGGACGATCAAAGATTGACGATGATATGGGTATGGATCAATACCTATTAATACCATTTTTAGGGGGACGAACATCCATTTACCAGCTATATATTTTGATGTTCACCAGGGGTACAAGGTTTTGACACACTGCCATATGATCATAATAATCCATTCATACTCCATTCACAATTAAAAAGGGACTAAATTTAAAATATAACCATCATAAAATGAATAGAACAAAAAAACAATCCATTCATAATCCAGTCATATTATCATCCCTTTTTATCATCATATCATGAATCATATGGATTGTTTACTATAATCTTATTTAAAACAATACCATCAATATAACTATGAGAAAAACCATCATATCATCCCTACGTTTTTTCCCCTTGGAAAACCCACAGTTATGGCCATTTATGAAAGTTATAACTGGTTATTTCAGTGCGATAAAAAACATGTTATTTCTATGGGGTTTTCTTAGTACTTATAACTGGTATTTCGGGCCATAACTGTAATAAACCATTCCTAGAATCACCATTTTTATGGCTGTTTTTGTTTATGAAAATTCCCAGCTGGTAGGTGTTTAAAATCTACAAACCCACCTTTCATTCCCACGTTACCGCCACCTTTCCCCAGGCGGTCACGCAGCGCTCAGCGAGAAGGAAGGCCTCGGCGCGGCGCTCTGCTGGGCCTCTGTCACGGCGGCGCTGCTGCGCCGGGACAACGCGCAGCAGCAGGCGCGGTGGTTAAGCCGCGGAACATGAGCGCCATTTTTCATGGTTTTTTTCGTGGGTTAAATGGAAAAGCCACATTAATTATGGTTAATAGTACAGTTATGGCCATTTACCAGTTATAACTGGTTATAAATGGGATTATACATTCTATAAATTGGGTTATAAGCACTTATAACTGATAAATGACCACAACTGTAATATATGGTTCATAGTAAATATATGGATATATTCTGGTGAAATGGATGGTTTAAAGTGGCTTACTCTCTGGTAAACATACAAAAAAAACGATGGAAAATCAGCATTTTCTATGGGTAAACTCACTATTTCGACTGGGCCATTTTCTATGTCGCTATGTTGAATTACCAGAGGGTCATATCACCTATACATGGTCTATCTATATATAAATGGTGGAAATCAGCTATGTTTATTATGGAAAGTGGGACCCACATTGATAGATCACAAAAAAAGATACGGGGCCCCCGTTCGGAACGTTGCCTTCAGTTGCTGAACATAAGTGCCTGAATTCTATGGTTTATGGTCATTTATTAGTTATAACTGGTTATAAGTGGGATTATACATGTTATAAATAGGGTTATAAGTACTTATAACTGGTAAAGGGCCATAACTGTATGGTTTATGGTAGATATTTCACGAACTAGTTCATGGGGCGAATCTAAACCAACATTCACATAACTGGGGGGCACCATCTTGTAGGTGAATCATCTAATTATAAATGATCCATGTTCATCCGTGTAACCTCATTGTTCATGGTGTTTGTCTCAGAAATCCACATGTTTGGTGGATTTAGGTTTTAAACCCTTTAAAAATCATCTAACGTGAGTAAACATTGTGATTTAATCAGCTACAATGGGGATGTAATATGGGATATGGTCATGAAATGCAATTAGTGTTAGTAAAGCAATAGTGTTTACATAGTGTTTACCATCCCCAAATTTGCAATTTGATGGGTGAGATTGAAACCATCTACATGGATGGTTTATGACATTGCTTTTACAAACGTTATAAATGGTCATTTTTTCCACAGTTAAGGTAGCTTACTGGATGTTCAACTTCTTGGCTGATCAATGTCCATGTGTTCTGTTGGTTGAATCTTCCTTTTGCAACAAAAACGTCAGCATCTATCAGCTTCTTTGCATCTTCAACTCTTCAATCTACTGTCGATGGAAGAAATCCTGCACCACCTTGGATGGTTGAAACCCTATAAATAATGGTATAAGCCACCTATCAACTGGTGCAGGATTTCTTCCATCCACAGTATCTATCTATCTATCTTATCTAATCAAATCAAATATTATATTTTCTTATCTTATCCTATCCTATCCTTCTATCTATCGATCTATCTATCTATATTATATTATTATTTTATCTTATCTTATCTTATCCTATCTATCTATCCATCCTTCTATCTATCTACCTATCTATCCTATATATATATATATTATAATTGTTATTATTTATATCTTTATATGCAATTACACAAAGATGTTTGCCCTGTAAATTCCAATGTATGTGGTTCTTTTGCAAATTTTGAACGAATTATCAAGTTCACCCATGTTTGTGATAAATGCATTATAAATGCTCATTAATTTCAGTAGTAAAATGCAAATCCATTTAATTTTCATGGATTTTTCTACAAATTCATTGATGTTTCAAGATTTTTCTGGTAAATCTGCATGTTTTTCGCGCTTTGTTCGTGGGCGACGTCCAGCACTTTTTTTTTCGCTGGCGAAGGCCGCGGGCTTCCTGGAGGCGTTGCTGGCGGCGCTGGACGATGAAGCGGTGGTGGGGCCCTTTGTTCCAATGGCCTTCCGGGTCTTGGCACCGGTGAAGGCCCGGGGCCAGGGCCAGGGGTTGATGCTGATTGGGTCTGATCAGCGGAAATCCCCTCGAAATTGCCATTGAAATGGGAACATCAATGAACATCATTTACTAAACTAAAAACCATTAACTAACCAACTAACCATCAACCATCATCCATTAATAATTTAGTCATCATTGATCCATATGAGATCATTTTATAGGATTGTCCATTAACCATTTGGTTGGTGGTTTGGAACAAGGATTTTATTTTCCCCAATAGTTGGGATGATGATCCAATCTGACGAACTCATATTTTTCAGAGGGGTAGGTATACCATCAACCAGGATGATTAGTGGCAGTTTTTTGTGGTGATTTGGGATGATTGGGATGTGGGAAAGGCAATTAGTAGATCTGTTGATGGTGGCCGGTTCAGCACATGGTCAATGGTACATCAAATGTGGCAATGGAAAAGCATAGGAAAGTCATAGGGAAGTATTGTTTCGATGGAAAATCTGGGAACATCCCCAACCTCAATGGAGATGTCCAGGGGAAAATATCGAAGTAAATGCATGAATTTCGATTGCCATGTGTGAATGGTTGAACTTAATATATCTGGTTGGTGGCTTGGAACATTTTTTATGTGTCCATATGTTGGGAATGTCATCATCCCAACTGACAAACTCATATTTTTCAGAGGGGTAGGTATACCACCAACATCCACCAACCAGATATGGTTATGGAATGGGGTTTGTCTGAAAAAATGGTATCCCTCAAGTCCAATGGTTTATCATCATGTTCCCCATTAAGAGTGGGTATTTGGGGTTTTGACGCCATTTTCAAACACAAAGGTAAAAAAAGGGTTTATTAAAATTTAGTGGATCTCATTCTGCAGTTATGGCCATTTATGAAAGTTATAACTGGTTATTTCAGTGGGATTATACATGTTATAAATGGGGTTTTCTTAGTACTTATAACTGGTATAGCTCGGGCCATAACTGTGGATCTCATTCTGGAGATGCCTGGTTATTTTTTTTGGGGGATTTGTGGTGATGAATGGAGGTTTGTTTATCGCGGTGAAATCGGAGATCGCAACGGTTCCAGGAACTAGGGAAAAACCATGGGGGAACACATCAGAAATATATGGCGCAAATGATTTTTGAGGCTGAAGTTCATGTTCAACCCGAAGAAAATAGCATTTTTGGGATCCGAAATGATGATCCCAAATTGAGATTTTTCAGGTGAAAGCACCAAGTAACTAAGAGAGAAGGCAAATTTTGGTCGTTGAAGATTTGGAATAGGTTGTTGTTTTTTATGATGTTTGATGATGTTTAATGGGGTTTAATGGGGTTACTGTAATGAATATTTGGCCGACATAGGATGCATGGTTTGATATTGCAAAATCTACCAGCGTATCTAAGACTGGCCAGCAAGAGATGACTTGGGTAAATTGAGTTTCCTACTTATGTTAACTTATGTTAACCATTGGAAGTTATTTCCCCAGAAGGATAGTCTTTGGTGGAATTTTTAGCTTGGACAGGTTTTTTGGGGCTAGGTATCGCGGAAGCTGCTGCAAACCTTGGTTTTTACCGTGGCATCCCATGTGAGATATCCCAGGTCCCATAGGTATGGTGGTTACAGAGGGCCACCAATAGCCAAAAATTGCCCAAACCTAAACAACTCCCACTTTGATGCTTTCAAGCCATAGTGCCATACGGTGAAACTTCACAGGTGGAGTCAGCGAAAGCCTCGCGAGCTGCTTGGACATGCTGAGAGCTTGCGGTGGGATTTCTTACCCTGAATGGTAATCAAACATTTTGTAATGAGAAATCCCGAACTAAATAGAAGTTTTGGTGGGAAAATTTGTAAATGGAGGACTTCTGAGTTGTGTTCTGGTGCTTTTTTTTGTGGCCAAAGGATGTTTATTGATGTTTAATGATGTATTTCAATATAATGATGTTCTTAGTAAGTCACATTTATTAGTAATCACTAGTGATTTAACAATGATTTCTCTTTAATGTGGCCCAGTCACAAAGTATTCCCATCGTCCACGTTGGGTTTACAGAAAGGCCGCTGCCGCCGCAGGCGAAGTTGCCTCCGCTGGCATTGCAGCAGTCACTTGTTCGAAGATCATCGGAGTTTGAAATGATCGATTCTGATAGATGTGTGTCCCATCAAGAACTATATGACGATATAATGTATGTATATAATATAATATAATATATATATATATATATACATTATATATATCTATATATCTATATTTATTATTATTATAGATAGAGCTATGTCGTAAAATTATAGCGGATATTCCTGTATTTTCCAATGTTTTCCCATATATGTTCCTCATTTCCCCTATGATTTTCCCAGTTTTTTTGGACCAGGTTGTCGCGGACCGTGCTACCATCGTTGATCGCCAGAGCTAAGGCCGAAGATCAGCGAGAAATTGCTACGTACCCCTTGGGTAAAGTAAGCTATGTGGGTAAATTATATATATATACATGCAAGAATATACATATTACTATTATCAATAAAGATAATTAATAAATATAAATATATATATATATATTATATGGGTAAATTATAACAACCTCACTGTTCTCCCACGCTGGAATGATGGTTAGTTAATAAGGGATATCAGAGGGTGGCTGAAATGGGGAGAACAATTGGTTACTTGAATGGGATTTCACCACAGGCAGCGGAGAAAAAGTTGGAAATTTCACCTCTGGTAATTTGACAGCTTGTGACATTGAAAACCACTATTTTTCTTGAGTAGATCATCTCAAAACGGCTCATTTTCCAATGTTAAACAATCAGATGGTAAGCAGCACCAGTGATACAACTGATATCGTTCACCACAAGATCAAGGCTAAATGGGGTACTTAATAGGGGGCATTGCCTCCAAAATGTTTTTTTTTTTTTATTTTAAGATTAGCAACATATAAAAGTAAAGCCTGGGAATACAATGAAAAGTAGTGTGGGATATTTGGATACCCTCTGGTTATTTAACATAGCCATGGAAAATGGCCCATAGAAATAGATGGTTTACCTATTAAAAATTGTGATTTTCCATGGCTATGTTAGTCATAACCAGATGTTCTCTCTGGGCATTGGACTCGGTTTCGGCAACGGTTGCGAAACATAGAGCCATGGTATCTGCAGGCGAGCCATGAGCCCCTCAGATCTTCCAACATCTTCCAACTCTTCGCTGTTGGTCATTGGTGAGGCATCTTCAACTCATGTCCTACACGGCATATACCCTCTGGTTATGTCAAAATAGCTATTGAAAATGGCCCCTTTATAGTTGATTTACCTATTAAAGATATGGTGATTTTCCATAGCTATGTTAGTTTACCAGAGGGTATACGAATCCTCACCAGCCGCAATCCACCACCTTTTTCATGGCAGGGATCGTTGCCCGCCGAAACGTTGGACACCTGGAAATCATTGGGAAAGCATAAATTGCCCCTGCGGCAATTGCTTTCACTCAAGTATAGTTGGAGGGATAAAACCAGTTCATCACTCTTTCAGCTGTACATGTATTATAATCAACCATTATTCATCATTATTCATAGATTTATTAGCATGTTTTTGAGTAACTCCATGTACCATGATGTATGTACCATGTACCATTATGAATCATGTATTTCAACATCACGTGAGTACCATGTACCAACCATTCATGGCCAGGGCGTCAAGGCCGTGGAGACGGCACCCTGGGCCAAGCGCGCCGCTCTGGAGTCGGCGGTGGCATTGCTGGCAGGCCTCAGTCCAGAGGCCGGGGGGCCAAAGATCAATGGATTGGTGGGACAAATGGCAGGAAAGCCTCATACCCTCTGGTAAGCATACAAAAAACTATGGAAAATCATGGAAAATCACTATTTTTAATGGGTAAATCCACTATTTCGACTGGGCCATTTTCAATAGCTATGTTAAATTACCAGAGGGTATTTCATGGGAAAATCGATGGTTTCCGATTAAGATGTTCCCTAATTTAACCAATCCATTGAAAAGATGGGCTGAGAAGCAATGGTTTCTGGGAATATCCATGCGAAGGTTGTGATTTAAACATCAAAAGGAAGGAGTTCAGATGAATTAGGGAATGAAGATGGCTGGGGTATGGGTTGCTGTGATGGCTCGAGGGGCTCCACATATTTTTTTTCCCAAATATGTGTTTTGTAATTCCAAAATTGGAGCAACATTATTGGGATATATGGGGGCGTATCCCTGCACAAAAAAGACTTGATGAACATGCCACTGTAGACTCCAAAGGCATGTTTTTTTTGCCTCTAAGATCCAGAGTTTTCATTACAATGTTAAATTGCCAGAGGGTACCCGGAATGTAAGGTATGTAGCATGTTGTAAAGGTTGCTCAATGCTAATATGGATCGAAGATGTGTACAATTTACCCCACACCAAAAAACGACCGTGCTGTATTTATGCATGCAGAGGAATGCAAACGTTGTGGCCTCACAAAACCTTACAGGCCAAGCGTTGTATACTCATCAGACCCTGCTATTGATGATACATAGATCCGACCGGCAAAAGCCCACCAGGTTGCGTGCAATGATTGCAGCTCCTTGTTCCTGAAGGGCAGTGGTGCTGTAGTGTGCTGGTGGGTTGTTTCATTACCCTTGGGTTATTTCACACAGCCATGGAAAATGGCCTATTTATATATGTTGTCATTAAAACATGCATTTACCCTTTGGTAAACTAACATAGCTATTGAAAATGGCCATTTATAGTTGATTTACCCATTAAAAATGGTGATTTTCAAATAGCTATGTTAGTTTACCAGAGGGTATACAGATTATACAGGCTTTTGATGGATTTGACATTGCACCCTTTGATTGCCAGAGGATGGTGCCTTTGGTTATTCAACATAGCCATGGAAAATGGCAATGTTCAAGAGGTAAATCGGTAAATCAATGTACTGTAATTCATCTACATAATTCCCCATGGCGAAGTGTTAAATTACCGGACAAAAAAATGGGATGTGTTTGAAATTCCAGGATGCCAGTTTTTTTGAGAGAAAACCATTCTCTCCAATATTTACCATAGATTCCATATGATTCAGTGCGATTGATATATGATTCGAATCATATCCTAATATTATGCTACCATGGAAATTCCATGGTGGATCCTATGTCCTAGGTGAAGAACTGCGGTTCTGCTCCTTGGATTCAGCGCGGAGTGGGGCATTCGACTGCTTCGGTGCTGTTGTTCATGTTAATGTTAGCAATGTCATAAACCAATGGTGAATTGATGGTTTCAATCCCAGCCAAATGGTAAATTTGATGATGGTAAACACTATTGCTTTACTAAGATTATAGATATTGTAGGAAGCCCTAAAGTTCCTAAAGCATAGAACAGTGAACCCCACTAGAATTGTGATAGATGACTGTTCCATCTGCATCGCATCGCCAAGGCACCTTAACGTCACTGAAGCGCCTCAAAGACGAACCGGAGGACGGGGATGGGTTGAGAGCCATTGAGGACGAACTCAAAATCCTCTGCAGTTATTAGTTATAACTGGTTATAAGTGGGATTATACATGTTATAAATGGGGTTACAAGTACTTATAACTGGTAAAGGGCCATAACTGTGGTAAACTCAACATAGCTATGGAAAAGCAAAAACATATGATATCACCAGTGTTTTGGTATTCCACGGCTATGTTAGGTATTACTGGTGGCTATGCCGTTTGGCACGGTCCACGTTTCGAACGAAATGGGAAGTCCACCTTTTTAAAGCACAGGATTGTTGATCAACAAGAAAGTTGGGATTGGAGCACCAGATAAGTAGGGTTTCTTTGACCAACACACCTCTGGATTCCACGAAAATAAAGAGTTTCACAAGAACTAGGAGATGTTGATCTGTTTCCCAATGAAAAAATGCGAATGTCTCGCCCACTGCTGGGAACTGTTCCGCTTTGCAAAGGCCACTGTCTTTGCAGCGCAAGTGCTGCAACTTGGGCTGGATCTGGATCCGGGTCCGGGTGGTTTTAGGGCTGGAAAATATGGTGTTTAACGTGGTTTACCCTCTGGTAATTTAACATAGCTATTAAACATTGCCATTTATAGTGGATTTTCCCATTAAAAATGGTGGTTTTCCATAGCTATGTTAGTTTACCAGAGGGTAACATGTTTTAAGCAAGGTGAAATGGAGGATTTACATGGCATTAATCATTACCAACCGGAAAGGGGCAATTGGTAAATTGGATGAAATTGATGTAAATGGCCGTTCCAATAGTAACTAGTCATGGACTATTCGGTTCATGTTGGCGATTTCAACTTCTCATCCTTCAAGTTGCTCAGTGGCAACTGGGCAAGCTGGATAACTGGGCGAAATCGACCCCTTTGTAAGAGCAAACTCAAAAGTTCTCATTGGTTCATTGAAAGTCATATTTGCACAGTTATGGCCATTTATTAGTTATAACTGGTTATAAGTGGGATTATACATGTTATAAATGGGGTTTTCTTAGTACTTATAACTGGTATTTCGGGCCATAACTGCAGATTTTTTTTTTTTAACAGCAGGTAAACCACCCATGGTTTCATCCGAGCACACTCCGTTGATGGCCGAAACCAGGCAGCTGCTGGTGCGGGCCATCCAGAAGCAACAGCGCCTTGGACGGCGACGATCTTTGACTCGTTTGGCGGGCGCAGGTCAGATTTGAAAGTGGTTGACCTTAACTATAATTGGTTGGTGGTTTGGAACATGAATTTTATTTTTCCATCATTAATTATTGGGAATTTCATAATCCCAACTGACTTTCACTCCATCATTTTTCGGGGTAGGTCAACCACCAACCAAAAAACATTATTATCCATCATTAACCATATAATAACCATATAATAACCATTAATATAAACCATTATTAACAGTATACATATATATATATACATATTAACCAATGGTATAATCCTAAGCATACCTTTTTTCGTGGTAGAATCATGTCTCCCAGCTGCTGGGGGGAAAAAAAACGACCTGGTCAGACAAACCACACTCTGGTTATATCCCAACTGATGGGGGTAAAATTATATACTGTTAATAATGGAATATATATATGGTTATATAATGGTTATTATATGGTTATTATATACTGTTATTAACAGAAAATTACTGTGGAATTCAACTGGAATTCTAGAAGTCTATGTCGCTATAGCCATTAAGGTAACTTCTGGCCTGCACCCATTAGCCCACTAGATGAGCTAAGGTCCTGGGTGGAGGACGACCTGCACTCGGTGGCGCCTTGGCATGCCGAGCTGTGGAAAGAAACTGCGGGGAAAGACATTTTTTCCGAAAAGAGGTGGCAACTGCCGTGGGAAATCATGGGAAATCTCCTGAATTATCTCAGTTGTAGTTTTTTTTTCTTAATGTTAGCTGAGGTGAGTTGTATATAGGGTTGACACGTCAGTTTACCTCATCAATCCCCCCATCTGCCCTATTCATTAAGCGCCCAGATTAATATCTTACATCACGGCACATTCTAGTCATCAAGCTTATTACTGGGCTTGCCAAATCCATCATTCTGAACCCCCGAAACCAGAAATCCTCAACGGCACACCCTTCAGGTGACTGATGTCCTGTTGTTACCTCCACCATTTCCAATGCTTGTAGCCGCCCATTTGTTCCTTCATGTCCCTTCTTCGATGGGAATTCCAGGATCCTAAAATGGAGGTACTGTACCATATAAGGCAATATTTTGTGGGGATATGTGGGGATATTCCCTTACATAGGCCTTATATAGGCCTTATATATGGTAGGCCAATTTAGGTTCCTGAAATGGCCATTGACTCTATAAATGAGGGCATGATGATAGTAGTCTGACCGATTGGATCGGCTTGGCAAGTTTGGTGGATGGTATTGAGCGCAGTGAGACGTAGTGGTGTTTCTTATTTGGATAGTGAGTAAAGCAATAGTAAACCAACTCATTAACCATAGAATAACCATCATTAACCATCATTAACCATATAATAACCATATAATGACCATATATAAACCATTATTAACAGTATATTAACCAATGGAAATGGCAATGGAACATTCCCCATTTACTTCGATGATCATCCTCCCAGCAAGGTCACTCCCATTTGCGACCTCTGCAGCAGTCACCGAGTTCCTTTGGTCACTAGGATGAAGGACGAAGCTCTTTGTAGTAGCCGTTTGGGGGTCACTGCTTCACCATGAGTGATTTATGAATTTTTATGATGGTATAATGTATATATCTATTATAGAATATAATAAATATATATATATATTATATATATATTCTATAATATATATATATATATATATGAAATAAATAAATAAACAAATAAATACATAAATATATATATATTTATATATACACGAAATAAATAAATAAATATATATATATATACACGGGAACGACACTTAAATATGTGGAGGGCGGGCCAGACCGCGAGGCCCCGGAGGTAGTATGAAATACCAGTTCGCATATTTAAATGTAGATACCGTATGTTTAAATGAATTGGATTCCGTATGTTTAAATGGCCGGGCGGGCCAAGTATAACGTTCCCGGAGGTAGTCTAAAATATGTGTTCGTATATTTAAAAGTCCGTATATTTAAAATGATTTCAAATGTAGTTACCGTATGTATACTAACCGTGTGTGTAAAGTCACCCTGCAGTAGATAGAATATGGACGTCTCGCAAAAATCCTCCCTAAAATAGACATACTGTGGATGGTTGCGAAATCTTGCATCACCAAAAGGATGGTGGAAACCCAAACGAAATCATGGGATGTTTACCACCTACTTGGTGGCTCATCCCACTTAGTAAGTGGGTTATAACCCCAGTTATAAGTGGATTAACCCTACTTATCCCGTTTATAACTGGGGTTATAACCCACTTACTAAGTGGGATGAGCCACCAAGTATCAACTGGTGCAGGATTCCTCCACCATCCACTGGTTATTGAAGGTTCCCATCATGGGACTGCAAATAATCTACCCTTAAGTTGCCGCAGCCTCGTTTTCACTGAAGTCATCATCGAATTCTGAGAAGATCATTTGATCACTTATGTATTACCCTCTGGTAATTTAACATACTACCAGCTGGGAATTTTCATAAACAAAAACAGCCATAAAAATAGTGATTTTAGGAATGGTTTATTACAGTTATGGCCCTTTACCAGTTATAAGTACTTATAACCCATTTATAACATGTATAATCCCACTTATAACCAGTTATAACTAATAAATGGCCATAACTGTAATTGTTTTGCCACATTGAAAGGGTAAAACCCGACCACAGAAGCTTCTTTTTATGGAGGACACACATTTTGAATATGGGATTGTCCATTCCCTTGTTTTGATTACCAGATGGTAAGTACCTCGACCCTCATTAGAATCATTAGACCCATGTTGTTTGGCACTGGCAGCTGCGGATAAAGACTGCTGGTTTCGGCCAGACACGTGCAGTTAAAGTTTGACTGAACCACATTGCACATGAGAATCTAACAATGGCTCGACTCAAAGTAGATTTACTGTTTTTTTTCTTACCTAGGAATGTTTAATGTTTAATCCACCATTGGTTGAAATCGATGTCTTTTCTTCCTGTGGCTTCCCTGGAACAGCTCCATGTTGCATCCCCAACAGGTGCGGTTGGGCTGCTTTCAAGTGTTGATTGCGCTCATTCAGCAGGTCCAGCCGTTAGATGAGGATAGCATAGCGATGGCAACCGTTGCTCCGATGTGATTTTTCTTTGAGAACGGTGTGTGTGTGTGTTTTCTGGTTGGTGGTTTCAAACATGAATTTTATTTTCCATTTCATATATAGGATGTCATCCTTCCCATTGACGAACTCATATTTTTCAGGATGGTTATTGCACCACCAACCAGTTTCCTTTCTTTTGATTCCACCAAGAAGTCCAACTCATGATCATAGGCTCCCCCCCCCGCAGTTTTACCCCCCAGGTCCTGGTAGCCTACCAAGCATCACCAAGGATTTTGGGTCCAGAATGTGAGCACTATAGAGATGATTGAATTTGTACCCGAAAGCATGATTGATAGCAAGGCTTGGTAAGAAACCAAGGTTGTGTAGGACGCATAGACCAGAAACAGATATAAGGGGTGACAATCTTAAAAACTGCAATCAGAGACCATCATCCACAAGGAAAAACAGACATGGCGCCCAGTAGCCCTTAATAATGGTTTTGCCTTGGAAACCCAAGAAAATGATATAGTGGAGGTGCAAAGTACTGGCAAGCCTCTCTGGTGTCTCAATCGGATCAGACCAATGCTCATTTGTTTATCGACTTTGTCGATGGTAGAGTCAGCGGATATTTGTCTTGACTGGACTATTCGTTTGGCCACATGCAATGCTGTGCAACATTTGTTGGCACAATCTTCCTAATGACCTATGTTGGTCTCAACGTGGCTTAGTAAGCCTTAGCAAGCTCCATTTCACATTTGGTGCATTTTACATACATTTTGGATAATCCTTTCTAAGCTCCCATGATCTGGGGTGGTCAAACTGGGGGGGAGGGGGAAGGCTATGACATAAGAAGTTGGATGTTGCACACTTGTTCCATACCAGGCTTTTGGGCATTTGGCGCCCTTCAAGAAGCAAATTCAGGCGTGCGGAAGTGAACTTTCAAGCAGCAAACTGTGTGTTTTTTTTGCATGATGATTCAATGGGAACACATTTACATGGGCATTCTATATGGTAGGTACCTCCAATTTAGGTACTTGAAATGGCCATTGAATGATTGTTTCTGGTGGTTTGCTGTCCATCTCTAGCATATCTTTGGCTTACGTGCAGTGCGTTTTAATTCTAGTTGTTTTCTTGGCTCCTGTTTTGAATTTGAGTTCAATCCAATCAATTTTGGTCCGTTGTAGTTGATCATATTCAATCCTTCATCGTGCATCTCCACTCAAGATTTTAAATCATATATTCTCTATCATTCTCCTCATCTAAATCTATATAAATATAGATCACAGCTGTAAATTTCATGAAACCTTGAGGTTGATTTGACCTATCTTGCAAATAGTCCTCACCCATACAAGTAATCCATTAGAGAACACACGTTTGATTCTCATATTCATATCGATTGATATTTTCATCCTCGCATCTGGCCTCTTCCCATCTATATGTTTTTCCCCATTTATAGGTGTCACGGGGATGCATCTAATATCAGTCCTCCATTTCTGGTGTGGTTACACTCCAATCAAACATGGCAATGGAAATTGTCCTAGTTGAGGTTTTAATGGGAAACTCATCTATAAATGGTCCATGTTCCATTGCCACGTTTGATTACTTGAGTGTAATTCCCCAACGTTGGAGTGGTTGAAATCCTCAGTCTCCTAACATAAGCAACCCATTGATACGTCACAGAAATTCATAGTTGTATAGATTCATCAATGGCCGTTCCAGGATCCGATCAATGGAGGTACGTTAGTACCATATAATATAAGGCCATATTTTTTTTGGATATCCCCTGAAATTTAGGCCTAAAAAAATAGGCCTTATATATGGTAGGTACCTCCAATTTAGGATCCTGGAATGGCCATTGAATTCATCTCAAGATATGGGCCAAATAGTCGAATATGTGTTTTTACAGTATCACCCGGCTTCATTCCCCATCATGTTCCCATCGTAAAATACGCACCTACCCTGCTTGGTGTTTCACCCTGCTTAGCAAATGGCTTATAACCCCAATTGTACGTGAGATGGCCCTACTTATCCCATTTATAATCAGGTCTATAATCAACTTAAACATATTAAAACCATATGTATGACCATTGTATGACCATTGTATGACCATATGTCTCAATCATATATAATATAAATAAATAAATATATATATATTGTAATTGTTCACAATTGTTTTGGCAAACATGTAAGTTACAACTATCATCCTAGGGCTGTCAATAACTATAGTTGGTTCACTGACCATAGCTTATAGCTTGTTAGCCATTGGTAACCATAATAGGGACTAGTTAAACTAATCATTGTTAACCATTATAACCCATTTAACACACTATGCTTCATTATTAACCATTATTAACCTGTGTTAACCAGCACTCAGTAGGGTGGTAATAATTCGGTTTATAATTATAACCGCTAATTAATCAACGATGATAATTGACTAGCTTCACCATTGTTCCTTAGTGATGCTTAAGCAATTAGTAATAAGTACTCACCATGGTTGAACCGTTGAACCACTAAGATAATATTGATGATGGTCATTTGATATTGTCAATTTGTTAAAAACAATTGTTACAGTAATCATGGTTTATATATACTTATTTTTTATTTAACACTATACAATATAGATTGCCTCTTGAACATTAACTTTCACTTAACCAATCATTATTCTAAATATACCACAACCATTAGTTAACAGGCCATTGTTTAAATTAACTAAATTTAACATTGTTCCCTAGTTGTGGTTAACAATATGAATGTTTGTTTTTTTTATTGATGATGATTATTAATTAAGTTCATAATCTATTTCCATAATCATTCACCAATATTTAACCACTAACATAACTGGCTATTATAGAATAATAATTAGCAAGATCAGTTGATATAGTGACGTTATAATCATAATAATTCAACATTATATAATGCTGTAACTTTTAACCCACTTACTAAGTGGGGTGAGCAAACAAGCAATCATGGGGAACATTGAAAATCACTGTAAATATGACAAACCATCATCAATAAACAATTATTGACAATCGTTTGGCATTATTGAACCACAAGAATAATAAAATGGTTAACACGAACAATGGTTATCTAACTGTTCGCCATTATCAACCATTCTTGCAACCAGGAATTAATGAATCACAACAAATCATAGCTCGTGTTAACCATTGTTAACATTTCTGGATACTTTCATTGCGGAAATTCAACCATTAGTTAATCAACTATTTGTTCATTAACTACATTAACCATTGTTCCCTAGTTATGATTCATTAGTTGATGGTTAACCATTATTGATAATCATTCGCCATTACTGAACCACAAACATCATATCGTGAATCAACCACTAGTTAATCCATTTACCATTGCATTTACCATGATTGATGGGATACTTTAATGGCCAAAAATCAACCATTAGTTAATGGTTTATGAATGTAATCATCAGTCATAATCATTCATATTGATAACATTTATCATGTGTCATTGCATTTACCATTATTGAAGTTCTAACTAACTGTTCAAGCATTTGTTCACTAATTGCTATAAATTCATGGTTCATCAATCGTTAGTTAATGTTAACCATTAGTTAACATTAGTTGACTCAACCAATAGTTAATACCTAACTACTTTAACCACCAATGGTTACCATGATGTAAAACCCTACATTCTTTGTGTTGTTGGACTCCTAAGGTTAAACATTAGCTGACCATTAATGAACCAGGTTTACCAATCAAGGGTTAGTAACATTTTTGCAAACCACTAAGGTTAGACAATCATGAGATACCCTCTGGTTATGTCAAAATAGCTATTGAAAATGTCCATTTAGTTCGTTGATTTACCCATTAAACATGGTGATTTCCCGTAGTTTGTTTGGTATGTTTACCGGGTCGGGTAACCCCATAATTTCACCTAATGGTTAGCAAAAAATGGTGAATTAAATGAATATCTAACCATAATTTCACCATATCCCATAATGGCTAATCATAAATGCCCAGATGCTCCATGGTGCTGGAAGATTTACCTACATTTGAACCATTTTTGGAGTAAATGTAGGTAAACAATCCATACATGGAGCATATAACCAGTTATAAGATGGTTTGTAAACCCCATTAACTATAGTTATAGGTACCATAAACCATAGTGAAATTGGAGGTATAAACCAACTTAGAACGCTATCGTAAACGGGGGCCCCACTTTGTAAAATTTCTGGTAACTCATCTATAAAATTCTATAAGTCTGGTAACTCATTTCACCACATCCCATAATGGATCATCATAAATGCCCAGATGCTCCATGGTGATGGAATATTTACCTACATAACCAGTTATAAGATATTATAAGATGGTTAACTATAGTTATAGGTACCATAAACCATAATTTACCCAGATAAATGGTGAACGAATTTCACCAAGCACTACGCTTCCGTTCCCATCTGCCGAGGCGGGCTGCAAGAACGGCGTGGAGGATCGCTGCCGCGAGGTGCGGCTCCTGGCCGTGGCGGCGCTCAACACCTGGCACTGCGCCATGGCGACGCGGACATGGGCGAAAAACCCATGGAAAACCATGGAAAACCCATTGAACATGTGGTGAAATGTGGGGAAAAAACATGGAAAATTGTGAAACATATTAGGAAAAACACCAGAAATTTGCCAGTTTTTTCCCGAGATGCTGCTGATATTTTTGGGGGGAATTCATTGGAGAAGTGTGGTGGAAATTGACGGATTTCGCTCCAAGAAGTGGGGATTAGGGGTTATTGATTTCACAACAGTTTATTATATATGGTTGCTAAAAAGATGATATAATCTTCATGATGTATTTTTAAATTTGTGTTTTGACATCTTTTGACAACCATATAAAATGGTGATTTCACTCGCAAAAGTGTTATTTCAATGATTTTGATAGCACCAACAACATACATATTTTTTGGGTTTGTTGTAAGCAACAAGACTCGTAACTAGATTTCAGACTTTGAATTTCAATGATTTCCTCATCGAAAATGAAATGTCCTGTTTCTTTCCCAGCATGGTTCCTAGCTTCAGCAATCATTTCAGTCAGTACGATGGGGCGTTCTTTCCGGGAGAGGGGATGGGGGAATAAGATAACATGAGGTGTAATTATTATGGTGTGATATGGTGTGATGCAACAAAAAACTACGGCCACAGGGCCACTCTACCCTTTTTACCCTGTAAAAGGTTAATTCAACACGCCCACTTGGCCAATCTTTTGAGGGGATCCTGGTGAATTTGAACAGTCTCCGGCGCAAACCGGGTAAACCTTGGAAGTTGGGGAGGATGGTGCCCAACTCAATTAATAAATCAAACAGGATAACAAAGGAAATCATTGCCATGTGTTTAAACACCTTGGCCATGTGGCAACAAATGGGGGAAACTACCCTCTGGATCCCTCTGGTAAACTAACATAGCTATAGAAAATTAATGAAAATTACCATCTTTAATAGGTAAATCAACTATGAATGGGCCATTTTCAATAGCTGCGTTAAATTACCAGAGGGTAGTCCACTCACCTTAGTGAGCTCCACCGAGGTGTTGGTTCGCAATGAGCTGAGACATGCTGAGATCTCTAGATGTCTCCGCACCACGCGCGGGACGAGAAAAGCTCCTGACGGGCGATCATCTGGGATCGGGTTTTTCTGTGGACATACAATGTGGGGCCCCCCAGTTATAAGATGGTTTATAAACCCCATTAACTATAGTTATAGGTACCATAAACCATAGTTATTTGAGTTATAAACCAACTTAGCTATCTAGGGGGCCCCACTTTGTATGGATGGATGGACGGATGCATGGGTGATTCTTGGTACTTTGTTATTGCTGTGTTTTTCCAGATGGCGAAATGGAGAGGGAGAGAAGACCCAAAAACGCCGGGGACTACCCTCTGGTAAACATACAAAAAGCTACTGAAAATGGCCATAGAAATAGCGGATTTACCCATTAAAAATAGTGATTTCCCATAGTTTTTTGTATGTTTACCAGAGATCCCGCCATTTCAAGACATCTCCCGGAGCCCTGCTGCCAGCTGGCTGACACGGAGCTCTTTAAGAAGTTGAGCCGTTTGGGATCCCCAGCGGTGAAGATTTTGAAGTGACCAGTGACCAGTGACGATACCCTGAGGATCATTCCCATAGGATCCATGGTGCTTGTATATATGCTATATGCTAACATAAAGGGGGTATATTGATGGTATCCATGTTACCATATATAGCAGCCCCATGGATCCGTCATGGGAATTGAGATGAAGCTACTGAAATTCACAAAAATCAGGATACTTAAGTGGAAAACCCACGACCTGCCGATACTTGCCTATTTGTCCATTTCGATCCTATCCGGGATAGATTTCTTTAAAGGGCGGTTCTGTGTATATTGAGCGACCTCCCTTGGGAAAACCGCGATGGGAAACATCCAACGAAGGACCCAACGGACCAGCAATTCTGTTGAGGTTGGACTGCGAGGAGAATAGTGGAATTCACTCCGCAAGGTTGGGCAGGGAGATGTGGGATGATGGTCACGTGTTATTGCCATACCCTCTGGTAAACTAACATAACTAGTATGGAAAATCACCTTTTTTTTAAATGGGAAAACTCACTATAAATGGCCATTTTCAATAGCTATGTTAAATTACCAGAGGGATCCAGAGGGTATATTTATCTCTATATCTGGGTAAATTATAACGATCGAACCCTGTTCTCCCGAACCCTGGAATTCATGGTTTATTTATGGGAAATTATCACAAAATGGCCGAACTATGCAGGTTAGTGAAATATTATAATTTACCCAGACTAGATATATAACCACATATACATATACATATGGGATCCGATCAAAAATTCCTAGTAAGGAAAAGTAAATCAATTTGTATTAAACAAGACTAAACAATATTATCTATATGTATTAAACTATATGATTGTCGCGATGTCACTGGAATGATGGGGACCGGAAGGCGGTGATTATCCCAAAGCTACAGTGTTTTTTTGTTCAAGCTCCATTAATATTACCAGATGTTAGTCATGCAGATATAGTATGAATGAACAACATTAGTATGAAGCAATCATTATTCATGAATATAAATATCACCCTTCATGATACTAACGACTAATGTTCTTAAAACAAGTAAGCGTGTCCAATACTAACAATGCTATTAGATTCACTATTTAGTCACTCTTAGTTCTATGAATCTAGATATTAGAGATAGAAAGAAAAACGGTACTAGAGCACTTGATTCTTCAGTATATTTCACGACTAAATCATTAACTATTTGCTATTTCACGATATTTACCCTCTGGTAAACTAACATAACTATGGAAAATCACCATGTTTCATGGGAAAATCCACTATAAATCATCATTTTCAATAGCTATGTTAGTCATAACCAGAGGGTAAGTACCTTATTTACTGGACGTAATCAACAAAAAACCGCCAGAGGCGTGGCCACAGTGGCCAATGCCTACGCCAAGGCGAGCTGCGGGGTTGGATGGGTTGGGCACGGGCTCTGGATTTGGAAAATAGCAGGATTCACATTGCCTCAGCTGGTTGGTGCTTTGGAACCATGGAATTTTATGACTTTCCATTCATTGGGAATGTCATAACGCCAACTGACGAACTCCATCATTTTTCAGAGGGGTAGGTTGAAACCACCAACCAGCTCAGGCTTTGCATTGGTTTTCCCAAGGGGAGCCCCTTTCCAGGTTGTGAGTTTGAGTGGGATTTCATGAGTGGGATTTTACCTGGCTTCTTCCAGCATTCGGAATCCATTGCGAAATCGACGGGCCTCACCGGCTTTAGGTTAACAGCCACAGCTGGATGGTTTCCAGATTTGCCTCCTGGTTTCACCGAAAGATTCCTTATGATCACCTTAAACATCTTAAACCCCAGCTAGCCAATAGTCAGCCTAGATATATATATATATATATAGAGAGAGATGATTATGATTGATTATATATATATATATTATTTTATATTATATTATATTATATTATGATATGTTCACCAACTTAGCGTTTCCGAACTGCGGCACCACATTTTTAGCGCCGGGAGTCGGCTGATCAGGTGCTTCTGTGTGATGAGACGCTCTTGGGCGCGCTGCGGGAGGGCATTAGTGCCCTTGGCGAATTCCTCGGGACTGACGGGACTGATGATCAGTGACTGATGTGTTTAGAACATGGTGGTGCCCCCAAGATAGCTAAGTTGGTTTATAACTCTAATAACTAGGACTTATGGTAGATATATCTATAGTTAATGGGATTATAAACCAACTTATAACTTTGGGGCACCACCTTGTACCCTCTGGTAAACTAACATAACTATGGAAAATCACCATTTTCAATGGGTAAATCCACTATAAATCACCATTTTCAGTAGCTTTTTGTATGTTTACCAGAAGGTAATGGGGACATAATATGGGATATGGATATGGTCATGAAATGCCATTAATGTGAGTAAAGCAGTAGTCTTTACCATTCCAAATTCATCAGGATTTTTTCTTTTAATGGCTGGTATGAACCATCAATTTACCCTCCGGTAATTTAACATAGCTATTGAAAGTTGCCATTTATAGTGGATTTACCCATTAAACATGGTAATTTTCTATAGTTTTTTTGTATGTTTACCAGAGGGTATATGGGTGGTTGGCGGGTTTTTTTTGGCTTATTAGAACTTATGGGAAATGATTGGAGTTCATGGGAATCCCATCGCCCACTATTAGAACATATACCCGACCTGGTAAACATACAAAAAACTATGGAAAATCACCATTTTTAATGGGTAAATCAACTATAAATGACCATTTGTCCATACTTATGTTAGTTTACCTATAACTATACTCTTTAGTTCCTATATAAGTAGGTGATATCAGCTTTTAATATTATTCAATGCAATGCTGTCATTTTCTATACCATGGAAATATGAGGTTTTGCATCCAAAATGCTGTAAATACCATGGAAATGAAAGATTCTAGGTCAGGGAGTAGGGGACCATACCATTGGGGGAGGCTACGGGACCGGGGACCGGGATCATATATGTATATATATATATATATGTATAAATAGCACCCTGTAAACTCTGGTTCGGGATATTGGGCCCATATGGATATTTTTCAGATTACGGGGGATGGAATAGTGTTGTATCCCAGGCTTCCAAGGCTGTAAAGCAACTAATGTCGAAATCCATCCAAATCTAAAACTGTGTTCAGAAACAGCAGGTGATGTCCCAACAAAGACGCATACGCATACGGCATTTTCAAAACTAGATCACGCTGTTCTGCGTCGCGCTTGTTATTGGTAAGATCGGATCCTTGTTAGCTCAGCATGCCCAAATCATTTCTTTTGCAGGGCTTTTCCCTGTGGCTGAAATGACTCCCATCTCAAGCTTAAACATCCCACTAAATGGTCCTAAAACTATGTGTAATTTCATGTAATTTCCCTAGTCAACCATGGTTTGGGGGTGTTTTTTGGTTAATATTGGATCAATGGGAATTTCAGGATCCGATTCAATGGAGGTACGCTAGTACCATATTTTTGGCCATGTTTTGTGGGGATATTCCATGAAATTTAGGCCTAAAAAATAGGTCAAACATATATGGAATCGGTACCTCCAATAAATCGGATCCTGAAATTCCCATTGATCATAGGTAGATAGACTATAACAGTTATTAGAATTATCTATAACCTATAGTATTCCTATAGTATTCCTATAGTGTAGCTATTATAACATCGAACATTCCCATTGATGGGATCACAGTAACAAAAACCTTTGGGATCCCCAGCTTTCCAAGGCAGAAATGGTGCGGAATTCAAGGCACAGCACGTGGCCAATTTGTTGGGCAGCCTGGGAGGAAGCAGCCGCTACAAGGGTGAACAAAAAGATGTGGACAATCACCATTGTAGTAGGATAAATGTAGGATATATTTGATCTTATTTATATATATATACAATTATATATATATAATATATATAATTATATATATATTCTCTATATTGTCTATATCTATGCATATAACATATATATATATAATATCCGCATCGATCACTCAGAGTTCGTGAACATTTGCATAAATCTCTCACATGCTCAGCATGCGGAGCAAAAATACAGCGCCCCTGTGCTAATCACCATGAATCATCAACAAATAGGGGATTTTCAATAGCTCTATGAGTCATGTGGAAAATCCCATGTTTTCATATGTTTTCCATAGCTGCCATAACGATGTTTTCCATTACTGGAGGAGAACAATGGCAAGTTGAGCCAACTTTCAAGCCCTTCAAGTTCCAATCTGGTTGGTGGTTTGGAACACTTTTTTTATGTTCCATAATATATGGGATAATCCTTCCCATTGACTCATATTTTTCAAGATGGTTGAAACCACCAAGCAGCAATTGATGCGCCTGACTTTTTCAAGATTTCACCATGTCTCGCATGGCAAACTGCGCATGGCTTTTTCAGCTGTGAAACTGCGCAAAGGTTGAATGCCTTTGCGCGGCTGGAGCGCTGGCCCCAGTTGCAATCGACTTTTTCCCGTAAGACATGTGGAAAATGATGGCCTGCAATGGCATGAAATTATCATGGGAAGAGAATGGGAATATCTATGAATATCTTGTGACTATCAT